ATTCTATGATTCTATGATTCTATGATTCTATGATTCTATGATTCTATGATGACAACTAACACTAGTTTTTGAAAAACCTCAAGCATTAAGGAAAATGTATTCTCAATGTAGTGATAGTAAGGCAATCAGTATCACCACTAGTGAAGTGAGCTAGCACTCATCTATCAAGAATATTTTAGGTAGAATTGATCCCAATTTGCTGTGATGGAGAAAAGAATACAGCCTCTTGGGGTTCTTTCTAAAGAAATTTCTATGATTCTTAACACAGAACAAAGTAGATACCAGGGATCTCCTATGCTCTAGTCCCACTTTCATAGAACCATAGAATCATTAAGGTTGGAAAAGACCATTAAGATCAACTATTATAACCATCAACCCATCCCCACCATGCCCATGAACCACGTCCCTCAGTTCCACATCCACACAGTTCCTGAACACTTCCAGGGACGGTGAGTCCGTGCCCCCCCCTCTCCCCCCTGCCTTCTTGGCACCCTTGGCAGCCTGTTACAATTCTCTTTCTGAGAAGAAATACGTCCTTCCTGGAGCCCTTTGCCCTTCAGGACTGTCACACAAGGGACTCTCACAACCAATGTCCTGAACAGTCTTCCCTCCAGAAGTTCAACACAGCAGTTTTGCTGACTCCTTTCCTGACTTAACCAAGAACAGAGAACTCTATCACTTTGTGGTTACTACACACAAAATAGCTTCCGACAACTACATACATCAATCCTTCTCTGTAAACAGCAGATCTAGAGAGATGCCTTCCCTGGTAGGCTTTCTTACCAGCTGTGTCAGGAAGTTATCTTCCACACACACCAGTAATCTCTTAGACTGTTTCTTTTCTGCTGTATTGTATTTCCAGCAAATGTCTGATAAGTGGAAGTCCCCATTGATAATAAGGGCTACTGCTTGCATGACTTGTGTCAGTAGCTTGTCAAATACTTTATCCTGGTTGGGTGGTCTATAATAGACTCCCACTGGGAAATTAGCTTTGTTGGCCTTCCTCCTTACATGTACAGATTCAACCTTATAATTAGCAGCACTGAGCTCTACAACATCAAAAGAATACCTGACATACACAGCCCTGATTGCTTTGTTTACCAACCTATTTGCACCCTATTTTTTAACATAGGAAAGGCCAAAACTGAAAATTCATATCTCAGGTGATTGACAGTTCAAGGTTTATTCTTGCACTTCATAGAATACAAGTCAGAACTGAGAAATCACTTGCATTGTACAATTCCTTTAATAATGTTCCTCTCCCACTCTCCCTCAACTCATGATGTGAAAGCAAATGTAGGTCTCAATCTCTGTAATTTCTACATTTTCCCCAACAAAGTCTAACAATTCATCACCTATGAGGATTTCTACTTGCTTACTTACTTGCATGGCCAGACAGATGGTGTTCAGCAGGATCAAAACGAACATCAGGTATTCAAAATAGGTGGAGTTGACCACATACCAAACTTTGTACTGGTACTGATTTTTTGGGATGTATCTCCGCAGGGGCCGGGCCTTCAGGGCATACTCTACGCACTGGCGCTGTGAAAGAGATACGATATGTTTAAAAATCAAAAACAGAATACAAGGTTGATTAGCTACTTCCATATATTATAAAAGCACAACGTGTTTCAATCTATTTTCTTAAATTACTGCTTAGAACAAGAATTTCTTTTAGGTCGTACAGAGAAAGTGTATGTTCTACCTGTTTTAGACATCCATATGTATTTTCTTTGGACAGAGAACACTCATCTGATCTCACTGAGCCAAATGGTACAGCACACATTTTAAAGTAAATATTTTCATTTGTGCAAATCTTGCAGATTCATCTTGTTTGCATTTTCACATGTTACTCTCCGTATATATTTCTCTCTTAAATTCTTATTGTCCATGCATTTCTATCTTTAGAGGCAGTAAGTGGTCATGAATTACCTGGTTCTTGTCCAGCTCACAGTTCTTGTATTCTTGTTCTCCTTGTTCCTGAAATGTGACGATGACGAAACCAACGAAGATGTTCATCATGAAGAAAGCAATGATGATGATGTAGATAATAAAGAAGATGGAGATCTCAACCCTGTGATTATAGATGGGTCCCACATCCTCCATGTGGGAATCAATGGACCTATACAGCAACCTGGAAGCAAACAGGAGCCCAATGCAGAGAAAATCTGCAGCTGTCATGAGGCCTTATAGGTGATATTACAAAACTCATCTGTGCGTTTTTTTCTACTTGTATCAAAATTACTTCATTCATAGATGCACTGATTTGCACTGATTTGAGTATAAACTCTTGCAAAAAAGAGGACACAACTTTTATTAACTTAATATACTTGAATCTGGTCAGGGTCAAGGGTAAACTGTATTTCTAGTTGAACAATAAAAACTTAAACAACAACAAGCATGCCCTTCAGTTAACAGAAGAGTCCATGTTGTTGGGAACTGAGTTTTGTGAGAAAAAAGGATCTCAACACTTTAACATTTGTTAGTTCTGCTGTTGGCATCACCTGGTGACACAGTTCAGGGACAAACCCAGGATACCCTAGCAAACCTATGTCAGTCTGACTGAGTGAAACCAAAGGTATCCTTGGTCTCTGTCACATAGACAGGACAGCCTGGTGAGTTATCTTGCGTCTATCTGTATTGCCAGCATTGGTGGATTTCATAATGGCCCACTGGCTCCATAGGAAAGTTTTAACATTTACCAGTATTGACAAGTGCCTGACAGGCATTTTTATCCCTTTGTATACACAGTATTTGTAACAATTATTGCTACTATTGCTGCTGTTGGCAATAATTTCTTTAAGAGCTACAGACAGCGCTGTAAGCTGTTAACAAGCACAAAAACTGCAGTTCATGCAAGTCCTGAGGAATTTACAGAGCTCATAATACTACAATGACTGCTGCTACTATTGCTACATTCAATGCTCTAAAATTTTTAAATACTTAGAATGGGAAAGAGAGTTCTCTACAATTGAATTTTCTCTTTTGAAATGAATGAGGACATTAGTAGTGAAGCATTGGACCAAGAAGCACTCACTCTGGCCAGCCCTCAAAGGTTGAGACAGTGAAGAGGGCCATCATGGCAGTCAAGACATTGTCGAAGTCAAACTTGCTGTTCTCCCAGCTCCGGGGCTGGATCATTGGCTGACTGACCTCACCATCCTTGTATGTGATGTAGTATCCTCTGTGGGTGGAAAGGAGAGAGAGAACATGGCAGAACTGCACTTCTGGTACCTGACCCTGAGAGCAGGTGGCAAGTGAAAGTGGCTAAGTGGGAAAGGTCAGACTCACCTGCATTCTGCTTCAGTCTGCTTGGAGCTGTCAGTGCAGCTGTAGAGTTTGCCCTTGAAGAAGAAGAAAGAGGAATGAAGCTTCCCTTCCTAACAGTGGAAGGGATAGGGTTGATCATATACCAGGGAGGCTTGCTTAACTGCTATGGGTATGTTTACATACTCTTTTACAGGCAGATGTGAATGAACTAGACCAAGAGTTGCCTTTGTCTGGGTACCTCAGAGCACAGACTTTCATTGGCTTGCACAGTGCTCTTTGTGTATCCTGAGGTACGCTGCACTAAGTGCTGCTGAACACTGATTGTCAGAAGGGTGGTGAAGGGCAAAGAAATAAAAGTAGACCTAAAGAACAGAATGAGTAATCTCCAGTGATTACCACTGGATGCATGCCCACTCTTCTGTAAAACGTAATGTAGACAGCCTGCAATTACCAGTCCTTTAGAAATGCCCCTTTCACCTCTGTCACTAAGTCATGCCACAAGCAATTTGGAGAATAGGGTTACTGATGATTTCTTAAATTACAGATGAGTTGCAACAGTTTTGAATTTGATCGATCCAGTTTTAGTAACTCCTGGTAGTAGGAGACCAAGTAATACTGACAGTGCCCCACATTCTATCTCACATGGAAAGATTCCATCTCCCCTTCCTCAGGGTTTTTCATGATATTTTTCTTCCCACCCGAGAAAACAGCTCAGTGTAATGGACGAATGAATGGGTCAAATAGTTTTACCTTAAACAACTGAACTCCAATGCAGGCAAACATGAACTGCAGCAAAGTGGTGACAATCACAATGTTTCCGATGGTTCGGATGGCAACAAACACACACTGGACTACATGCTGCAAATGGAAGATAGGAACAAAAGTAACTTGTAGGACTGTTCTGAGTTGCTATGGTTACAAATGAAGCCCAAGACTGTAACAACAAATACAAGAATTTCATTTAGCTACTGCCCACTAAGTAATGTCTCAGGAAAAGGGAGAGAAAACCAGTGTGTAACTTTTATCACCGTACTCTTCAAAGCAGGCAGAAAGAGTCAGGAAAATACCAGAGCTCAACTCTCTGAAATGTCTGGCAGCACAACCGTACATAGTTGGGCACTCACCAGCCCACATGAAGAAATTTAACTAATAGAGCAAGGCTAAAGAGTGAGCCCATCTGCAACCCTATAGAAAATGACGTAATTTAACATTAGTGGTGATGCTTAAACACTATTTGAAATGTCACAAAAGTCCTTGTAGCCTGAAGTAACTTGAATAGGTAATTTGCAGAAGGCATTGGGATTCTTCTAACCTTTAGTCCTTTGGCTCTGTTGATGGCCCTCAGTGGTCTAAGCACTCGCAGAACACGCAAAATCTTCACCACATTGATGGCGCTGGATCTGTAAGAAAATATTGGGAAGTTTGAGAGAGACAAAAATATAGTGAGTTTGCTGCAAGAATTGATAGATCACACCCACTCTTTCTTGTTTGAAATCCTACATAGCCTTAGACAGGTTGGACAACTACAGTCAATTACTACTTGCTGTGGCACCTCAGGGGTAAGAAAATCATTCTTGCATCACCTTCATAGGTCTTGCTTCCTGATCTGGGCAGCCTTAGTATACATTCTCCTGACTTTCACCAGCTATGCTATGTTAATGAAAGGAATGGAATATGGACAGGGATTTTTTAATAAGCAGAGCAAATTGTAAAATACTCTGCAGCTATCTAATGGAAACTGTGCAAAGATGTAAGCACTACAAGACATTTTCAGGTAAGTCTTAAATAAGTATTCTGCTGAAACATCCATAGAAGAATGGACAGCCTAGACAACTTGGGCAATAAGGTACACTGCCCAGGTAAGGTGTGATCCTTCAACGTGTTTGGCCTCTGATTCTGAAAAGCAATTAAATGTGTATGTAACTTTATGGATGTGGAAACTCACTGAACAGGATTGCCTGTATGCTTAATTTTAAGTGCAGAACACAACTGCCTACTACAACTACAGAGCTCTTAATCTTCCTTGCCTAAAACCCTGACTGAAGATCTTCTCCATGCTGGAGGATGTCAGGTCCTTCTACTAATTTTGAGAACAGTTTTTTTTGCAACCACATGAATAGTCTAGTTAGAGCTATAGGAACAAAACAGGATGACAAAATGTCCTCTTAGCTGTTATTAAGGCTTCTACTGAAAGCCCAATGGTCCTGAAAAATCTTTCTGCTTGACTTATTGAGCTCTTAAACATATCATACATGAGCTGCTAAACCTGTGATGAGAACAACAGGGACCTGCTTTTTTATTAACCGTGCTATTACTTAGGAAACTTTCAATCCAACACAAACAGTTCCACATATTCAAGTGAATCTGTAAATTATTAAGAAAATTAGCAGATCACAATAAAAAGTGTATTCACAGAAGTGGATTCAACTGCCACTGCCACCAGTACTCCACACATTCTTGCACAGCTCTTAAATCACTTGATGGTCTTTCATTGACCAAGACTCACAGCATACTAGGAAGTAGCAAAACACTATCACCCTACATTCTATAAAGAAATAATGAGCTGGAACAGTATGTCACTTAACTGCCCTGATCTGACAAAGTGACTCATACATCTTGGAACAAAGCTGAGTGTTGTAATTCCCAATGGACCAAATTTCTTGTTCTCATTTGATCTTTCAAGAAGATCCTCTATCCAGATCATTGGTATAGCATTTCCCAGCCATTAGAACCCCTCCTGAGAATGAGTTTTTATGCCTCTTGAATCAAGTGTCTTGAGGCTCATGAAAACAATCTTACCCGGATGAAATGATGAGATTGAAGTACCATTTCCCAACCCTGCCCTAAAAAACAACCAGTTGAAAATAGCTCACTCACTGGATTCCAAAAGAGATGAGAGAAACGCTGACCACCAGCAGGTCTAAGATGTTGAAATAGTTTCTGCAGAAGGAGCCCTTATGGAGGAAAGCCCCGTATGCGGTCATCTGCAGGAAGGCACATGAAGACACAAACACACTTTGCCATTAGCATCTGTTCAGAAACCAAACCCATCTGGTTGAGCTCAGAGTATATATTTGAGCAGGAGTGGCATTTCTAACATAGCAGACTATCTACCCACAGGCCCCAAAGGAGAATTTGAGTCCCCATGGAAAGAAGAGAGAGTGAAGATGACAGTAAAATAACTATGAAAGACCTAACTAGGGAAAGCCAATACTAGGTTTAGTGAGGAAAATATGCACTTTGAGTGCATAGAGTACATAAAATTTAGAGTCAGTAAAGCAGTAAAATAATTGTTTGCAAAAACTACTCCTTGCATTTATATGAGTTTCCCTTTTTCTTCAGAGGCAGAGGACACTTGTGAGTATTATGCTAAGTATTATCTAACGGCATCTTTAGCTGAACTGAATAAAAAGCATGAAATAGAAAGGGCTCTTTTGTGATGCTTTTTAATGCACAGCTGCACTGGACAGTTGAGCTCTCTTCCTTCTGTGAAAAAAAAAAAAAAAAAATAGAATTCCTAAGGGATTTAACTGCTTTAGAGCTGAAGCAAAGCATTAGGCAGAATTTCTGTTCTCTTCAGTTTGCTCCTTCTGTTCAGTTCAATCCTACGTCTTTTTTCCTACCACTACCAAGTTTCTTTCATTTTTTATTTTACAAGAAGTTGCATTTTCTCCTTGGTTTTCCTAACAAAACCCAAAGTAATGTTCCTTGACATAGAGAAGTTTTCTCATGGAGGAAGTCATTATGAGCATCATTCAGTTGAGGAAGGGAAAGATTTTAATTATTTTATCTGGACTCTCTACCCTTTCTGGGTACAAAGGGGTATTGAACACTTGCTGGTGCCAAGGAGGATGTCTCAGCTCCAGAACTGGATTAAGTGACAGAAATGTTAATGTTATAAATAGAAATGGGTCTCAGCCACAGTGTCAGATCTAAACACTTCTGAGCTCACAAAAGTAAAGGCCTTAACTTTAAATTTTAGAATGGGCTCAGTTTTAGAATGTGACTAGATGAGTCTGACATGGTGAAAGAGGGTGAGGGTTTATTTTACCACCTACCTTAGCTTTGGTGAATGATGTAAACTAATTCCTTTGAAGATACCCCATTCCCACAACTGCTAATCTCATTACCTGGGCTAGGAACATGGGCTTCTAAATTTAGTCCTCTGATTCTCATCTAAGTTAGATGTCTATAGTAACTTGAAACAGACACCATGAGACTGTTCCCCAAATATTGGACTGTTCCAACTGAGAAGTATGAACTAGAAATTCAACCTGGGTTTTTCTGGCTCCTGTCAATAGCTCAGGATGGCGCAGCCTCTATCGATTTCCAGACATGCCTACCTGTGACAACTGCAGTCAGAGGAGAGTGGAAAGGCACATGGTATATCAGATTATTTTCTTCACCAAACATTCATGACATCAGGGAACCAGCTATCAATCAGACAGAACTGAGAGGGGAGGAAGTATAAACTCTTGGCTTGGCTTAGAATTTATACTTATAACAACATATTTGATTGGGAAAGGGGTGAGGGGGTTCTTGCCATAACAAAGGAGGTAAAGGTGCCCTTTACTGGTTAGATTTTGTATGGCAATCTTGAAAGAAAGGAGACACCATTGAAATCAGGAGGGGAAGCTCTGCTGAATTTATGTTATATACAAACTGTGGTTCTCTCTAACTTGTGGAGAGAATTTTTTTTTACTGAAGAGACACTCAAAGAGTGCATAAATTATGTCTGCCTCCCACTTGGGGCTGATCAAAGCTCAGGATGCCATGTAAAGCCAAACAATAACTAACTTCAAAACACTGCAAAGTTGTTCACCTTGCTAACATTCATCAGACTCCATCATGGCAATGTGAGTCTTGCGGATACTGCCATCAACATGAGGTCAGATAAAGCTTGTTTCTTCACGGCCTTGATAATCACATAGTCATTTACTCTTTTGCTTCTAATTATTTACTCCAGCTTTTCTGTTGTGCAAAAGATTTTGCTTAATACAAGGCAGCAGAGAAACAGGCCCTGAGAAACCAAGGAAATTGTGAAGCAGAAACTACAGGATAAGGACAGAAGAATTTCTTAAATGTTGGTAGGATTTGCATCTCTCTCCCACTTAGGCCTGGAGGAAGTCCAGAGATGCTGAGCTAAATCTTCTCATGTTAACAGGAGGACATTGAGGAGGTAATAAATAGGTACTATGCAGTACACTTCCCTGATGAAAACAGAGCAATATGCCAATGAATTAAGGTCTTTTATGCTTTCTCTGAAGTCATTAGGAGCGTTACCATTTGCTTCAGTGGTTGCAGAATTGCTGCTGTAATTTCAAACAGGCGGGATGGTGCCCTGATGTAGAAAGCCAAGCATTGAACTATAATTTTTAAGTGTTGCTGTTGAGATGTTTTCCTTTTTTGACAAGGCTTTAGGTGTGTGCACATTCACATTTACTGTGCAAACACGGATGCACATGCCACAACAGCATATTATGTATACCTCTTTGAAGGATATTATGGTTTTGGTGATTTAAAGTCGTATCAAAAGCATGGCTCTCTACAAAAATATGCACAGGCCGCCCTACTTGCCAGCCTCCAGATTAGATACTGTTATTAAGGTCTTCAGCTGCAAGATCTGAGCAACTTGAGGTTGCTGCCTGCCAGTACTTAGCACCAGCTTGCTGAAAAAAAAAAACAAGCTTCCAAGCAAACCTAGCATTTAGAAAGCCAGAACTTTGCTCAATTATTGTTATTTAAATTATTAGCCTACAAATTTGGGATAATTAGAGTTAAGAACAAGGCAGCCTATTTTTATTTTCTTCTGAGCTAAAACATTCTGCTGCACATTTCCTTTGGTAGAGGGCACATTTCCTGGGAAATACAAAGCCAGTTTTAAGAGGTACTGCAGCAGTTTATATTTGCAGCCATAGTCTTTTGTGTTTCAGTGTTTTATATTCTTGGTTATTTCTCCATACTTGAAAAAATTAGCTTATGCACTGTGTTCAGTGGTAGAATCACTGCCTGGCTCCTATATTTGCACCCTGTAACCTTACACAAAAGTCATTGGCTGCTCTCTGGCCCAACCTCATGACCTGTGCAGAACTGAGACTTTCTCTTTGAGCTGTAGGACGAATCAGAGGAGTATGAGCTCAGGGTTCTTTGTACAGCAAATAAATTCAGTTTTGGAAAAACTGGCCAGGGCAGTGAGAGCATTTTCTGGGGTGATGGCCTTTTTCTTGGTCTTCTCCTACTTGTCATCCTGTCATTGCATTTCCCCTAAAAAGTACTATGTTGATATAGGCCTTATTTTACAAGTTCACATAAGATTTTTAAGCAACTATCAAAAGCATAAAACCAAAAGATAAGCAATCTTTTGTGCTGAGAGTTAAAGGAGTTAAGGAGAAAAAAAAAAGGAGTGCAACAGAGAGCAAGGGAAGGCAAAAGAGAAAGAAAGAAAAAGAAAGGAAGAAAGGAAGAAAGGAAGAAAGGTAGAAAGAAAGGTCGAAAGGTCGAAAGAAAGAAAGAAAGAAAGAAAGAGAGAGAGAGAGAGAGAGAGAGAGGAGATAGAAGCAGAAAATGAATTTATTGCTCAGATTGGTTACCTTAAGAATAATTTCTAATGTAAAGATACTAGTGAAGACATAGTCTGCATTGCCTAGGATCTGAAAAATAAGCACAATTGGGTTAGTTGTACTGAGCGTGACCCAGGAACAAATAGGCGTGTGTGTTAGCAACAGATAGTGGCAGAAAACTAGTAAGCTTGTGAACAGGTAATGGTAGAGAAGATGGGCACTTTACCTTCAGAGCAATTTCAATGGTGAAAATGACAGTAAAAACTATATCAAAATAAAAGAGAACCTGAAAAAACAAAAGGGAATAGGAGTGGGGAAGGTAGATCAGTGACTGGCCACTGGAATGGAAAATCACAGTTCAAAAGCAAATACACAAGTCTCTTAACAAGGGAAAAAGGAGGACTATATGGGAAATGGCTTTGTAATGACGTCCTGTAAAGTGTAGTGAAGGTCCTGACACATAGGACAAGCAGCACATTACATGAGATATTTTCTAAGTTACAATCCCAGGAGAGCTCTGGAGGGAAAACAAGCTTTTGGTTGTTTTTATTGCAGAATTTTCTTTCTTTATTGGTTATTTAGTGATCTATTTATTGATTGTGATAAAGAGCAGACAAGGTAAGGGTTTTTATTAAATAGATTTCCAAACTGAGAACATGAAGACTTCTGGTCTCTCGGTGGAAAACTTGAGATTCCTAACTTGAATTCAGGCCTGTTTTGTGTTTCTCAAAAAGACGAAAAAAAGGTATCCAGACTGCAAATTGATGCACAAGCTCTCTTTTTTCTTTTTCCTCTACCCTGGGTTAGGGTGAAATAGAAATGCTTTGCCAATTGAACTGAATCACTGTGACAGTAATTTAGCCATGCATCAAATGTGCCCAACTTATATCATCTTCTATCTTTCCATTGATGTTCTGTAAAACAGGCAAGCTAAAACACCCATCATTCCCATCAATTTAGATCCAGTGGTGGGCATAGCAGTGGCATGCATAGCAAACCACAAGAAGGGGCCCTGTCACAGAAGGCAGCAGCAAGTCTGGAAGGGTTAAATGATTTGCAGAGTAACAGCATCAAGGACGCAGATGTCTTTCATTGCCCATTGATCTACATCTCACAAAGGTAAATGGGAACTCCTTTACTGACTAGTGGGACCAGAACTGAGCTCTCTTTGCTTCCAATGAATTCCAATATCCCAAACCATTTTGGTGTTAAATATGCTGGAAAAAGTAAAAATTACAAATTTTGTGCCCATGGATAAGTGTTGTTTTAACTTAATCAAGTTCTAAACATGAAGGCCAATATATGGAAGCAGTAGAAACCTGATTATTTTTCAAACTGAAGCCTCTACTGCTAAAACACTAACAAACATACTGAAGTAGACTTACCCTTCTTACAGGTCTCAATTCCATCTAGGTGATTTTGCTCTAACTCAGGTGGATGAATTCTTACAGCTTGGTACATCCTGGGCAATGAAGTAACTACTGCAAACTAGAGGGTTACTTTAGATCATGCTGTTAAAGCATGATCCCAATCTAGACTAATTTACAGATAATGAAGGTCAAATAGGGACATGTATAACCTACTGTTGGTTTGTAACCCAAAAACCCTCTGGTCTCTACAGGATTTTTGACCCCAAGACTAATGCAGAAGTTGTTCTGACCTCTTCAGTTCTGGCTTAGGCTTCATAATTTTTTGCAATTTAGAGAATTAAAAAAGGGCCATTTCAAGGATGGATGGACATCAGTTGCATTGTATATTAATTTCCACACATTACAGCTGGAAATGTCCCCTCACGTTGCTGCCTTATAGGTCCTGACATTTGGTTATTGTATCAGTGGAATAATTTTATAATCAATGTGCTGGATTCATGGGTACTCTAAGGCTGGTTTGCATGACTCCACCGACATAAAGTGGCCATAAACTTGATTAAAGTGGATGATTATGCTGGGCCTGCAGCTGCTTTACATCACCAGAACACTGCAAAGCAGCTAGGACATATTGGTGAACCTGCATCCAGAGCTGCAGCTCGTGAAGACATTCCATACAGATGAAAAATCTCACCTGTGTAACTGGTACTATTTACCAGCAGGCACGCCTATTCTTCCCTAAATACATATTTAATCCGGAATATATTAAAAGCAAAACAAAACAAAAAAACCAGAGAGACTATTGTAACTTAACATTTTAGGTCTTGCATGGGATTTGAAGAGTGTTTGACCAGACTGGAGAGACACTTGCACAGACTTGCTGCCTGAGCCCTGTGTGACACAGGAGAGATGCAGCCACTAGCTCACCCCAGGGGAGATGCAGTACCCAGGCCTCTTTGTTAGCCCTTGCTGGAGGAGCTGCTCTCTATCCCTTCCAGCTCTGGGACAGTTTGTGTCAACAAGAGCACTGGTCTGCAAGAGTCACAGTGAATGCCTGCTTATGTTGTTCCACAGTGAGGGCAGGGTAGGTTGTTTGCTTTCAGCTTGCTTTATTTCCCTCACAGGCACAGAGCAGACACGATCTTACTGTACTACTGCCAAACAATAAAGGCAGACCACTTTTGCAACCCAAACATCTTGTCAGTGTCCCCTGGCATGACACATTTTAAACACCCATACCTGCAAAAATTAAACACAGAATTTCATGCAAAATCAGTGGGTTCAAATACACAACATAACACTTTGCACTAAAACTTCAGCTTTTTTATTTACTACTTTTTTCTTATTTAAATCTCTGCTATGGATTCTGCATCTGGTTCTGTCAGAATCCAATATGCCAGCTGATACCATTCTGCAGGACTGATACCAACTGATGTACTTGTAGTCCTACATGGTGGGCCCACTCACCCATGTAGAAGCAGATTATTACTGTTACATGTTGGGCTGTTATTTTGTACTCTCCTTCAGGAGGAAATGCAAAGCAACTCTGAGATAAATTCAGAAATAAACTTCCATTAATACCTTCTCTGCATGCATCTATACATTTAAATGTATGCTCAGGCCAGGATAGTTCTGGGAAGTAGAACACTGAGCATTAAAATAAGGTCTTATTATTAAAAAAAGAAAAAAAAAATCGTTTATGTCTAGCAAGCTCTTCCAGCCACCAAATTGCCACTGCAGACAGCAGAGATCAGAAGTCTCACATATAGTTGCTGACACTTCTCATTTCTGTAGTGATCCCAGATTAATGGACACTACCACTGGCAAAGCTAAGCACTGGGCATTTCAAAAGGCTAATAAGAATGGCCAAGAAGGAAATTGAGAATATACCTCTGTGCTGAATGCCTTTCTCTTCTTCCCCTAGCTTGGCCAGGAGAGGAGCATGGCATATTTTCTGAGGATTATCTCATATTCAGTGATGGCTTTGCAGCTTGCACTGAAACAGCCTGATTCTAACTTAAAAGACACCAATTTTCCCCAGAGTGATGGTGTCAAACTCAAGAATTGTACTTCTGATTTACACCAGTGTGAGCAAAGGCCCTGCACTTTTTAGTTCAAAAAAATAAAGTGTTGGGAGAACAAATATTTCAAAGGGAACTTGCACATCTCCCAACACAGAATTCTCTGGACCTCAATTTTCTCCAGCCCATTTTTAAAGCCTTTAATTCCAGTGAGCAATAATTTTGCTTCAGCTGTCTATCATTTCTTTTCCTACAGACACTTCCAAAATTAACTCGAGGCCAAATTCATCTCTGATTCATTTTCCCTGTACGTTCACACACAGTGTACTAAAGGCATAAACCAGAGTAGAGAGCCACTACCAACACCTCTGATGCAGTCTTTTCTGTGTTTCTTGACTTCACCTCATGAGCTGCTTGTGCTACACTTTTAATACACAGCAAGGGAAGGAGTGTGATAAGCATACTTGATTCCTAAAGGAGAGGTGTCGGACGGGGTCCTCAGCTGCCAAGGAGATGCTGCTGAGCAAGATGAAAAATAGGATCAGGTTGGTGAAAATGTTATCGTTAACGATTCGATGGCAGTGGACACGAAACCTGAAAGAGAGAGGAGAGGCACAACTTTATCTCTCAGAGAACAGGAAGACCTGGGAAACATTCCCCTCTCCTCTTTCGCTGTCAAGACTGGCCCTGAGGGATTGCTCTGCATAGCAGCTTCACTCTACCCTGGCAGAGAATAGCATCCCAGGCAGTTGTGCTTTGCCCTGCTGAGTGTTCAGCAGCCTCAGCTCTCCATATAATGCAGTGATGCACACAGGGGTAACTGGCTGCCTGCAGGAGTCAGGCTTGGTTCTCCATTTAAATATGGTCTACAGACTGCCAACTCAAAATTAAATCCTTTCCATTCATAGAAATGTCCCCCATTTTTATAGGGGGTAAGCAGTAGAAATGGGTTTGGGGATGAACAATCTCATTCTGAGATGGGGCTAGACAGTCATAGGTATGAGGCATGAGAAATCTACCTGTTAGCAGGGCACAAATCTGGCAAATTGGCTATAGCCCAGGCAGTCATTTGCAAAGGGCTTCTGGGAGGTTATCATGCCATACACAGCATCTACTAAAGCTCAGCCTAATATGAAGTGCTGGTGTTCTTAGTGTGAAAATGGCCTGTAAGCAGTAGCAGTCTCCCATACAGAGTAGAAGGCTTACTTGATGCTAATAGAGCACCTTTCACACAATTATATCAGGATATGAGGAGTTAAACCTCATAACAGTCCTATGCATAATTCTAGAGGCACTTCATTAATCTATTTAGCTCTACTTTTGGCTGTTGAGCTGCCAAGCCCCTATTATAGCAATTTTACAGATGATTGCAGAGGTTAATTTACTTTTTCAACAAGCAACAGTGGGGGTGGGTGGCAAAGCTGACATTAGAGTCCATGAGTCCCAGTCATCATCAGTCTCTCTCTGTTGCTCATACCAAGGAGAAGTGGCATAAGCTCTGATGTGGGAAGATAAACTCTGAATTCTTTTGGGCCTTCACAGTCCTGCCTTGCTCTGAGACTGTGTTTGGTGGCAAAGTCTCCAAGGGAGATGTTGGGATACATGGCACTGAACAGACCACTTATCAGTGAACTCTTTCCTGCACCCTTAGAAAGATATATTCTCATGCCATAGTTGAGCCCTCCACTCATGGTACTGATTTCATACACTGGCATTGGAAAGAGAACTGGAGTAATGCGAAGCCAGGCTGCCTGAAGGAGACTGGAGGAAGAGGGCGAAGAATAATTCTCCTCAGGCTCCCCTCAGAACAATGGGAATTGTTGTCCTCTTTGTTTCCTTCCTTGCATGCTCATTCTTGGTGAGTGGGAATATGCAGAAATGCAAAAACTCCCTACTGGGAGTGAATTTTGAGCAGCTATTTGGACAAGAAGCTCCTACCTCGTGTTTGATTGCATGAGGTTTGCTTACAATCTGCTTAAAATCTGAATTTGCTGGGGAGTTCCAATTACTGGATTCCCTCTGAATCCCTTTTTTCCAAAGCTTTTATCATTTGTGTCTTCAATTAGACTTGCAGGTGCTCTGTACTCCCACTGCATATCGTCAGTGGGCTTTCTACATTTGTGCTTACATGGAGATTTCATGCCAGAAATCTCTTCTTGTTACAGCTGAGCAGCATCTTACATACCTGTTGTTAGGACTGAAGATGAAAAATGCGCTGGCATCAGGCATGGGCACAGCCTTTTCCTTGAGGTGCAGCTCAGACATTGGGCGAGGCCGAGGGCCAACAGGCATCTCAGGTTCTTCCTCATCTTCCTCTGCTGCAATAAATATTTTTATTTCACACAAAATGTTCTATTTTATGCAAAATACGACCCCTCATGGAGTGGTGGGACATTTGTTTCTATTGAATAAAAGTTACTTAGAAGCATAAAAATAGGATGATGAAAACCTGTGGATTATTGTCCATTTCCCTCTTCTTGAGGCAGTAACCTCTGCCTTGGACCTATCCCAGCAGAGATTGTTCAAGACTGTCTGTAGAACCATCAATGCTGGTAAGTCCACAATATCCTCACAACAGTCTCTTCAGATGCTTCACTGTCCTTTCTGCAAAATACTTCCCCCTAGTGACTATCTATAGGCTTCCTTGCTGTGGTCTAAATCCATTGCTTATTTTCTTATTGTCCATGGGTACAGAAAAGAGAGAATTCCCTTCCTCTTGCAGAAGGATTTAACATACTTGTTTCTGCCAGGCTTTCTTTTTCTTAGATAAAAACAACAATCTTTCCTGAGATGCTGTGTTCTCTAGATCATTCTCACTACTTTCCTTTGGATTCTCAGCAGAATTAACCTGCTGTTGAGGTCCTACTGGTGCAAAGGAGAGTTAATTATTTTTTATATCTTATAATGCCATTTTGCTGCTTAAATATTTTTTGTAGGCACTTATTTTCATCACATTCTTGTGTTAATTTGCCATCAGTTTTTGGTTTCCATGAACCATTGACTCTTCACAATATAATGGTTGTTCTGCCCTTCAGTCCCTTTTGCATTTATGCTGCTGCTGATTCCCATGAGTGGCACTTTGACCTCATCCTTACTGAACTGCACCTTCTTGTCTTCAGACTATTCCTCCAGTTTATCAGCATTTTTTGTAATCCTCTTTGCAAGCTCTCCATGGAGCCATCGCCGCACGCAGGCTTGTGTTTTGATGAATGCTTGTATGCCGTAAAGCAAATATGGAGCACAGGTACTTTAACATACACCTATCAGAAATCCTTAAAACTACCTTCTTTCAATATTCAGTGGTGAGAAGAATAAAAGGGCAGGTGACAAATCTGAGCCTCTTGAACCTGATGCCTATGGAGCAGAACTCCAGGCCTTGTACAGACACTCAAGGAAGAAACTGTAGAGATGGGAACTCAGTAGTATGTGAAAGACAGCCTTCCACCTTTGAGGATTTTTTCTACATGCTGAAGTCAGAAGCTTTTTTGTAAATGACACAATGGGATTTTGCTATTTTAAAGTTCACAATCCTCTCACCTAATTAGCAAGACAGGAAGAAATATTTCAAGAAGGGATCCTGGCAACTGATTTATCTTCCAGTCAATGCAAAAGAGGAAACTGTAGCTAAAGGGCTTATCCTAACTCCATGAAGTGAGATAAATTCTAGGAAAAGCCTGTTCCTTCAGGGCCAGGTATGGCACTTCATCTGGTAACGGACATATTAAGAAGAATAGGTGAATCAGTACAGATCCTAATCTAGATGTCAGAGATGGGAGAAAAGTGGCCTTTTCAATGCATGCTTTTATTGCATGCAAATAGGATTCTTTCTTTACATTTCTAGTAGCAAGAGTTTGGCTCAAGTTCGCTTGATAGATTTTTGGATATGTTTGATCTGGTACACAGTCTGCACTTTTTAATCTGGTCTATTTTTTAACAGCTCAATTTTATGTTGTAACACACTTAACAATACCCATTCTACAGGTTTTATTCCTTTTGAAGTACTTTTGTGAATAGTACTCGAAAAAAAATTGTGCTAATATTCATATTTATATAATATTACAATACTTTACACTTGCACCTTTTATCTACAGATGTCAAAGTGGATTGACAAGGAGTGGGGTAAGCAAATTCTTTCTTCTTTAACAGTCTGGAATACCAATGCCCATAATCATGTAGGATGTTTGAGAGCTCTTGCTTGAAAGACTATTATTCTGAGCCTCAGTTCTGTGCCATCAATATTAGATCTTTTTTTTGTTTTCTTTTTCTTGAAGCAAGCTTTACTTAAAGTGTTTAATTTTTTTTTTCCTAATAGGTATAGGAGAATGCCTCTGGAAAATAGACTCTTAGCAGAAGGACCAGCCCCCCTAAATGAAGATTATGAGGAAGACTGTTTCTCTCCTCTTTCTCTTGTGTCTGCCATAAAGCAAGAAATATATTAATGACTTTGGCAACCACATAGCTGCAGACTGGAAAACACATTGAGTTCCTCAGTTATGGAGAAAGAATAATGTTTGAAATGTTTTTCACTTAAAGTAGGGTCTAGGGCACATAAGAAAGGAAAAAACAGGAGTTAAATACAAAAAGTATAATATTATTACAGCATCAGCTCAGGTTGCTGTGTAAGCTAATTACCAGTATAAAGAAACCAGTATATTGCACAGGTGTCAGCATTCATACAAGCAAAGGTCAACACGGTATTCACAAGCTGGCTGGGAGACATGCCAGCTGCAATCCCACACTTGTTCTTTGACCATTTTCTATACCTAAGGTATACCACTGTTTAAAAAGTGACTTTTTCATTCAAGCCTGCCATGAAATCATGAAGAAGCAAGACTCAGAGCTACCAAGTCGAGATCTAGTTTAGAACTCTTCTGAAATTCAAGAAAACTCAAAACTTGGACTGTCATCTTGAGTTATACTTCATGAGAACAGTTGCATCCTTTGGTTGTGAAGGACACACACAGGCTACAGTGCAGAATCAGTGACAGATTCACTGGAAAGGCTTTTTTTCTTTACTCTATACAAAGACCAGAGCTGTCGTGTAAGGACACTGCTTTGCTTCAAGCTTCCATAAATCACCTCAAGCCTTCATCTGACCCTCATCTGGTGTTCTGAATTCTTTGTCTGTTTCTGTACCAGACCGCAGGACTTGCTCCCTGTCTTCCTATAATAAACATGTCAGCATTATAATCCCTCTAGTGTACACAAATCTCTGGAAAGAATAGTCTCTCCCTCCAACTAAGTGGCTAGGTGAACTGATGAGTTGCAAATACACAGTGTATTCTGGGGACTAAGAGCAATACTGTGCAGCAAAAACATTCAGAAGAGGTTATTGAGAAAATTCTAGTTGAGGCAACAGAAACTAATAGGAAATGGAGTGGGGTAGATTCAAATAATAAAAGAAAAACTGAGTTGGTGAAGGATGTTTTCCCAGGAGGGCTGCATTTAGCAGCACAGCACCTTCTGTAGCACGGCAATCACCAGAAAGATTTTGGGCTGATCTGATGATCAGAAAGGAATTGATGAAGGGACAGTGGTACACACTTGGGGACTGGGAAATTCTTGCTTGCTATTGCTGTTGAGTTCCTTGGAGTTTTGTTCCCTAGACCTGCTTACATGAGACAGATGTGAAATGCTGCTTCTGCTCCAAGAGGGTATTGGTGCTTCTGAGCTTTGTACTGAAAGACAGAAGACAACCTAGCATACATCTGCATGCCAGTCCAAGGATTGGCATCCCAAAGCAGTTTAAAAGTGTTTTTGCTTTATTTCCTGACCTCTAATCCTACAGATAGAAAATCCATAACAAATTGTAGATTTGTTTTTTGTCAAACATTCCATTTGTGAGCCTATTTCTAAATTTTCTATGGAAGGTAATTGAAATATAATTCTATTATCAGTAGGCTTAAATTTCTTATGCAGGTATGTGCATCTTTACTTTAAAAAATATAACAGTCTACAAATTCTGGCTGGTTGAGAAACAGAAACAGAGTTGTTTCAGGCTGTTTTAATTTGTTCTTGTAACTGAAGATTCCTTAAAACACATTAGTAACTGTGAATGGGTGTGCAGTGAATGCCCTGTGTCTACAGAGGTGCTTGAAAGATTAAATCCAGAGTGATCTGCTCTAAAAAATATCAAAAGTGAACTGCATTTTATGGTGTTGGAAACACCTGATTAACAGGCTACGAATATGGATAAATATGAGTATGGCAAGCTCACAGATTTTTTTTTGTTCTGAAAATCAAATGCAATGAATAGTTTTACGTTCTGATTGTCTGAACCTCTCATTCATCTACTTAAAGTGAACTATTCTGCCTTTTTTTTACCCTATCACATTAACCTATTAACACACATTTTTTTAGGAATGATAGAATAGAAAAGAATGTAATTTATTACCTATTGCAGTCTGTTATATAATCAGAAGTGAAGAAGGGAAGAACAAGAAGAGATCACACATGGCCAAATGTCTGCCAAGCTAGAATCAACTAATTATTATATCTAAGTCTTTTTTGGCAGATATTTCTCTAACCTGTTCTTAGCCATATTTGGTGATGCTAGGTTTCCACAACATTCTTCACAATCGTTTAGAGCCTCGCTACAACCCCTACAATTCTGTGATTCTTTCTTTCTACTAGAAAATCTTCCCCTTGTGTGAACCTTAATAGGGTTAATTCCCTTAACCATAACAGATTGAGATTATTTACCTTCTACCTGTAACAACCTTTTATGCATTTGAAACCATTTCCTCTGTCTTCCCTAGCTCAAACAACCACAGCTCTTTCAGTCTCAGTTCAATTTCTCCTTGCATTGCTTTCACTTTGCCCTTCTAGGTTCTTCCCAATTCAGCTCCACTTCTCTTAACTGCACCCAAAATGAGATTGTATCTCAACGGAGACCTCAATTGCTAAAAGACTAAAAGAGTTGTTTTACTCTGGTTAGCTTTCACTGGCCTGTTAGAAGAAACCTGTAAATGGACTAAAGGGTCATGTTTTCACTGTTTGTAACTACTTGTTTGCCTTTTGACAGGTGGCAAAATGTTATGGGCTTCTGCTGGGCTTGTGATTACAAGATTCAAATTCTTTTCTCAAGAACTGTTACCTAACTACTGTCACCTAAGATCCTTTATTTGTGAGTTGTTTATTCCTGCCTATGTAGAGCCTGGCACTTTCAATTTTATTTAGACCATTTATCCAGTTCCTCAAGAGCTCTTTGAATTCTAATGCTGCCCTTCAGTATGCTTACTGTCCCTCCTAGCTTCATGTCATGTGCAAATGTAATAAGCATATTTCCTTTTCCGTCACTCAGGTCATTAACATTGAACTGAACTGAACTGAATTCAGGACAGGCCTTTGGGTTGTAGAACCTCATTTGGGTGATTGCTACTCTCCACGTACAGAGTCCGACCAATTTATCTCCCAGTCATCTAGACCATTTTTTTTTTCCTAGCTGGAATGTTTAGAGACATTCAGAACATCAGCAAAGTCAAAGCATATATCTACTTCTTCTCCCCTGTCTTGTCAGCCCCTCTTAGAAGAAAATAAAAGTGGCTTAACATGATTTGTTCTCAGTAAATCCATGTTCCTGTTGGTCTCCTTATCTTGCAGTGTTGTATTTGTTTAGTTATTTGTTTCAAGACTTTTCCAAGAATGGAAGTTGAACTGACCTCTGCTCCACCCCTACCCACCATTTTAAAGACCTAGCCTTCAGGAATTCTCAAAGTAAGACTGGTCTGTGTTCCGAGATTGCTTCATCCAATTCTATATAAAGAATTTGAGGATGAAGTTCATCAGGTCCAAATGATCAATTCTAGGCTGAGTTTACACCTTTAGAATCATATTAATAAAGTTGCACTGACTTTTTTGATTAAAAAAAAATTCTAAAAGGCATTCAGCACTTTTACTTTCATAAGTATCTGTTGTTGATCTTCCCTGACATAGAATACTGAAAAAATGAACTGAAAATATATATCTAATCACATAATGTGTTCTTTACAGAGAATCATATCAAGTACCACTAACCACTACAGGAACTGCAAAGGAAACATGGGCAAATAAAGTGTTGCTAGCAAAGTGAGGAAGGGGATTCCCTCTGCTCGCACTCTTCTGAGACCCCATCTGGCATACTGAATCCAAGCCTGGTGCTCCCAGAACAAGAAAGACATAGAGATGTTGATGCAGGTACAGAGGAAGCCAAGGGGATGCTCACACGACTGGTGCACCTCTCTGATGAACAAAGGCTGAGGGAGCTGGGCTTGTTCAGCCTGGAGAAAAGAAGGTGCTGGGGAGACCTTGTAAAAAGCCTTCCATTTTTTAAAGGGAGCCTAAACGTAAGGATGAGGAGGATGAGGGGAAAGACAAGAGGCAATGGTTTCAAACTGAAAGGGAGTAGGATTAAATTAGCTTTAACAAATAAATTCTTCACCCTGGAGGTAATGAGGCACTGGGACAGGCTGTCCAGAGAAGTTGTGGAGGTACGATCTCTGGAAGTGTTCAAGGCCAGGTTGGATGTAGCTTTGGGAAACATGATCTAGTGGAATGTGTCCTGCCCTGTGGAAGGGGGTTTAGAACTGGACAGCCTTTAATGTTCCTTTCAACCCAAGCCCTTCCTTGATTCTACAAATTTAATTGCATCACCTTCTCCCATCATGAAGACATTACAAGACCAGCTTGCTTGCTATCGTAATTGGGCTATATGTGCACTAGCAACTGGAATTTTTTTTTTTTTAGATCAGGAACAAGAGAAAACAGAGAGATACCTGGTGCTTCTGTTGTGGGATATGGGCTCTTTTCTTCATTTTCATTTGGCTGATAGTCATCCATGTTGATCTAACAGAAACAGAAGAAAAAAAGACTCAAACAAAGCAGAGGGTTTTCATTCCCCTCAAAACTCAAGCTGTCCACATCATCTCTGCATAGACTATTGTGCTAGCAGCAGACCTTTGTAGCAGGTGGCGATTCTCCATCAGCAGTGATCGATTTCAGCTCAATTTTCTCCTCCTTTGTCTCCTCCTCCACAGCTGTTTTCTCTATCTCCTGTTTCTTTTCAGGACTAGCAGTCCTAACAATTTGACAAGATAAAAAGAAAACAGTTACAAAGGTGAAAAGCTGTTTCATGTAGTGCAGCACACACTAAGAGAATGATCAGCTGACTGTCACCTCCATTCTGAGTCCAGCTTATATTTCAGCGGCTCCACCTCTTCCTCTTCTACTGCAATTGCATATAGTATCCTTTTACTTCATAGCTTTCTCAATGGCTTGTGTTTATATATCTGTATGAGAGTGCACATGGAGAACTAGGTGACTGCGTTTTTGTGCACGTTCTAGGCATGTGACTAGATATCTTCTCTTTGTTCACTCAACAACAATGGCATGAAATGTTTTCAAACCCTGTCTTGTGGACTTCCACTAAGTTGCCTACAAAGTTTTGCTGCTCACTGCACTTCCAGAGCCCAAGAGATTCTCCTGAATGGTGTGTAGGACACAGGCAGAAAGATCTGCACAAAGGATTCTCTCCAAGTAGCCCAGAAACAAACTGAGGTAACTGGTTAGGAAAGACTTCTCCATGGCTGCCAACAGGGAATGACAGAAAAGCTCTAAGTCCAGCTTGAGTCTCCTGAGAGTCTGCAGATATACTAATAGAACTAGCCGGAATTTTTCTCCAGTGTATGATATATAAAAAGAAGGAAGTCACTGAATCTTGTGTCTTGGGAATCTGAAATTTTTTCTTGCTCTGTGGTCCAGAGCAATCAGGAGGTAATAGGGATATTCAAACGGTACTGTTACACCAATACCATTTTGTACTCATTAACTACTGATGCCCTGAAATCTCACCAGTCACTCAGCCTTTCTTTCTTCTGTTCACATCATTGCAATTGTGAGATTCCTAACTCCCAACACCTTCTTGTCCTTTAGTTTGAATTAAAATACATATATACATAATTACATATACAATATACAATATAAATTAATCATATTTATGTAATCTATATACACACAGAAAATTTAAACATATTACATACTTGCACATACAAATAAGCATAATGTGTTAGGTTCTATATCTGGATATATGTACAAGTGGATGATTTTGAGGTGGATGCATATGGATTTACCTAGCTAGTTTTTTCCTTTCTTTTTCCTCTTCCTCCTCTTTCTGTGCAGATGTTAAACTCTCCGCATCAGCAAGGTTGTCCACAGCAATGGCCAAAAAGACATTCAGGAGGATGTCTGTGTGCTACTTAAAGAAAATGGGCTTTGAAAACTGCAGAACAACATTATACTGAAGGTGTCTTAATTTAAATTTTTAGCAACCTGTCATCAGATCTCTTGGATTTTCCAAACTTCCAATTCACACAAATGTTCAGGGTTCACATATTGAGCACGACGAATCTACAACTTCCACCTAAATGTCTAACACACTGAGTAGGGTTTCCAAAATTTCACAATGGAATGACTGATAGAAAAGATGGAAGCCTAGACTTTAACACTTAGATTTCAGTTTTTGGTTTCCATATAGAGTCTTGCTCTATGCAACAAATTCCGCTAAAGGATAAGGGGAGCCCTGGATGCCTTTGAAGGTTCAGGTCATTTTTGTTAAGGAACTTTCATATTCAAGATCCTCATACCATTAGGCACCTGAGCTTTCCAATTTTGGCCTACATGCTTGAGTTGGACAACCTCATTAGCCTTTCCCACAGACATATGTAGATTTTAAGGACCGTAAGGATATCACTATCATTAGCATTTCTGAGGGGAACAAAAGAAATTCATTTAGTCTGAGTGTTAAAGGATTGGGTTGGCAACTCTGCTGTCTCCTAGCAGAGAGCCCACACATGGAAGCTGCAATGTAAACTAGTCATGCACATGTTGCTGAAGGGTAAGTAATGACAATTGCTTTCTTGTCTTGCCAGTCAGTGTTAAGACCTTGTGTTATAAATCTGAACACCAGATTCTTACTGAGATTTCTTTAGAGTAGGTCTCATGCCATCAGTTCTCAGTAAACTCCAGTTTAAGGCTTAGTCTGGAAATACAGCCACTCCTCTCCCAAAGCTCCAAGGTCTAATGACACAGTCAGCCAGCACATGGAGTTGGCTCACATTTTCCTCTGCAGTTCACAAGGAGATCCAAATTGTAGCTTTTTAAAGCTGTCAGGAAGACAGCATCCCTCGACCTTGAGATAAGTGTAATGGCACTATCTCACTTTGAAGAAAGGGCATGCAGGTCAACAGAAATGTCACATAACAGGGTTTGAGAGACCTGAATTATGAGGAAAGGTTGGATAGCTGGGCTGAAACTACAAGGTAGCTCCATAGAAGAACTAGTATAAAAAGAAATGTCACCTCTGACACATGAGGGCTATTTATTAAGGAAACAGAAATTAAACATGAACAAATTTGGAGCAAACAGATGCGGTACTGAACCATGGCTCTGTGTTCAATGCAAATTCCTATGAAAGGACACTCACAGCCTAATCCTGCAGTGTGCTTTGTGCTGCTGGGTTATGTACTTCGCCCTCACTTCACCTTGAAGCCAGAGAGAACTCAAGTTAATGCCATCTCAGGATAGTAGATAACAGACTACGTGATTTTCTGTTTGAAGATCAAACACATTGCAGTAAGTGAAATGGAACAGGGTTCCTGTTCATTTATATGCGAGTTAATATACGATCTCACATAAATCAATTGTGTCAAACATATGGTACTCCTATTACAAAGTTTGCATCTAGCATATTGTATATTACATATATTTTTATTCCACATAAAGTTTGGACGAAATCAAATGGAACATGTTAATGAAATGGCAATTAAAGTAAAAACACACAGTAAGTACAGCAGGTAGACAAAGAGATTTGTTTATAAGGAAGGCGGGAAAGAAAGACCTATGAGAAAATTAGGGGGAATAAAAAATAAAAAACCTAAACATGTAAAGGTACTAAATAAAAGGTGGCATGCAGAACCAGTATCTAGCTGGCTCTTACAAATGTTTATATGCCTGAAGGCTTAGTACTAGCTAAGATTAAACAAACTTGTTTAACTTTTGACAGTGCAAAGCCAAAATCTTGAGCTAGGGAAAAGGTGAAGATATAAGGTATAAAATTACTTTCTGACACAGCAGAAGTAATAAGGGGTGACTTTAAATTCAACCCTGTTTGGAGAAAAGAGTAGCATCAAAGGATACAGTTCCCACAGATGAAGAGGATGATGAAGTAAATACAGACCAACATTCCTGGAAAAGAGGGGCCGCCATAAGCCATGATCCCATCATACATCACCGAATTCCAGTCCTCCCCAGTCAGGATCTAAATGACACATTCCCACCAATAAGGGATACAGTGTTAGACCACACAGAGAATTTGAAAACCCCATTAACAGAAAGATATTCACTATCCTAGAGATCATCCCTTCCCCCAAGATGGCTGGAAACTCTGGCTGTATCCATTTAGCAAATTAAAAACAAAATGAGATTATGCAAAAAGGGCACTAGAACTGTTAAAAAAACTGGAGATGTCCCCTTGAAGACTTACTGCTGAACCCGAATGGCTCCACAAGACATCTTTGTTTAAGTCTCCCCACCTCACCTTGGCACTTCCCTCCACATCTGTTGTTTCAGACAAGCTGCACACATAAAGCACTGAGGACAGCACTCAGCACAGCCCTCCCAGATACACCTTGTGGGTGAAATCACAATCCTGATGCTCTTGGCTGATCAGTCTCAAAATTGCAGTCAGTTTGAAAGCTACTTAATTTCTCCACTGGTGCAGTGAGCACATACTTGTTCCCTAGTACTGTGGAAGGGGAGAGGACAGCCACAGGGACAGGCTCTGGCTTCCAGGCAAGGCCATGCAACATGGTAATGGCCATTCTCCTGTACTACTCTGATAAGCCCTGATGGCTTTGTGATATAACAACTTTGGAAGGGAATACCCCTGTGCTGCCAGCATGGTGCCTTGCTCCTGGAGCTATTAGAATAGCCTCAGAGACTACTAGGCTGTAGAAGAAGGGTGCAGGACCTACTGTCTGTCTCTCCCCATTTAAAGCACAATATCTAGGTCGCATATGTACCTACTCATGCTCTTACCTGAAACACAGTGAGGAGAGACTGGGGGAAGTTGTCAAATGTACTCCTCCTGGTCTGCATTTCATCAAAGTTAAACTTGCCCCCAAAAAGCTGCATCCCCAGCAGGGAGAAGATGATGATAAAGAGGAAGAGGAGCAGCAGGAGGGAGGCAATGGAACGGACTGAATTCAGGAGTGAAGCCACTAGGTTGCTCAGGGAGTTCCAATATCTGGGAGAGAAAACAAAAGTAGTTAAAATTTCTTCACTCCGAGACAGGTGCTCCTGGCCTGCACAGGATATTGGCTCTGGCTGCCTCCTGTGTATAAGCAGGCATTTCTAAATACCCTGTTAAGCAGTGAATCATTTATGTACTTCCCTAAGATAATGAGACCTACTGCAGCTAATGAGTAATTTTACTACCACACGTGTACATTCCCTCCACCCCCACTTGATGCTCACACCCAGAAGATTACTGCAGCACTCTCCATCTAAGTCTCTGAAAATCTTGTATCAATATACAGTGATTAGTTCTTGCCGCTTCAGTGAGTTACATTCTAACCAACCTCATTACAACACTCACAGATGTTATGGCATGCCAGAATACCTCACTCCAGAGAATGGCCTGCAGTAAGTGGCAGGAGCAGATGGGGAAACAGTTTGGATACAAATAGAAACTTGTCCAAAATATGGTGTGATTGTGCACTTGGGCTCACAGACAGACAGAGGTTGCACAGCCTTCTGGAGCTGAGAATGAGGAAGATACTCCAGGTCCTTCGCTTCTTTCATATGGACCCTTAAAGGGAGACTCCAGATCTACACCCCTAATGGCCTCAGTTTTCTTTGCTCACTATCACTGCTTTTTAGGGGTACTAAACCCTTTATATTTGCTCAGGTAGGCTGCAGAACACTTTGGAAGGGCTTAGAGCTGGGTTCAAAAACAGCTGGCCAAGACATTTCCAGGATCCCTAAGACAACAAAGCACCAGCTGATCACAGTAACCAAAATTAACAGATTTTTCTTTTGTTCTCTGGCACTGATGGAAATTTATTGGATACAATTGTGGCGAAGCCCACTTAGATCAGCTACTGAGAAAAGGACAAATGACCTACGACCAGGCAATTGAGACTCCTGCTTTTTGAGCAGCTACCATTAGATAGGGAGGATGGCTAAGATCTTCTCTCAGTGTATTCAGGTTTATGCCCAGATCTGACTGATGTACGATGCAGAAGACAATCTTCTAGCCCCTTTGGTCCCATTTAAGGATTCAAAGCAATGCAAGTAGCATGCTCTACTCTAACATATCAGCTCGCTTGCTTACCTTTGCCAACCAGCAGTGTAGCCATGTGTTGGAAAAATGCTACATTTTTGTGAAGAATTGACCACATTGCCAATGAAGCAACTTTCACTTCAGCCTGGTATGTGCTCAAACATTTTTATCCTACTGCTTAGAATGTCATGAACACTTTTACTGTATGTTCTTTTGAGTTTGACAAATATTTCAGACTAGATTTAAGATTAGCTGACATCTTCCAGTCACCTCATTTTGAATACAACCTTGGGTGGCTTGCACAGGCCAGCAAGCCAGTAATGTTTATGATCTGTAAGTTGCTAAGTCTTTCTTCTAGCATCATCTTTTGTGGCCTTCTACCATGATCTGAGATCACAACATGGTTGGCATCTTCCACTCCCTTCTCCCAAAGCTTTTAATAGTGAATCCTTCTCTCCTTAGAAGACCCTGAAGTTCTAGGTGTATTTTCCTTAGAGAAGGAAGCTCTATTATAGAAGGATGTCAGACATGTCAAGCATTCTCACTTGTTGGAGGAGGTCGGATAATTCTACATACAAATCCGTCTTTTCTTAAGTCAATGTGGTCATTAGAGACAGGGATTCTTAAAATCTTACTGAAATGAATATTTTCAAATGCCAGGGTAAAAAGAAGGCTTTTGTTGTCCCATGGCAGACAAATATTCAGGTGGCCCAATTACTTTGCAAGGGTTAGCAATCTGACCTGCAGAGGGACTGCCATGTCCTCTGAAGTTCAGCAACTAGTTCATCTCCAAGCACTGAGCTTCAAAGAGAACTGTGATGTTTTCCCTCCATCCCAGCTTCAGCACTTCAGAGAAAACCATAGTGATTTAGAAGTTTAACTGCAATTAAAGAGACGAGCATTGTAAAACTACAGAGCAGAGGTAAGGGCATGGAATTTGTGAGCTCGGTGTCACCAAATGTCTAGATTGAATGTGCTATGTAACAGCTCTCTATGTTTGTGTTTATGCTTACAGTTCACAACATTCATACTGTGGGAGGAAGAGAAAGTGACACAGGAAAAGGGAAAAATAATTTCTGATGAAATTGGACTGAATTTAGCATGCTCAAAAGAGAAACAGGTGGGGTCTAGAATATCACCAAACCCTCCAATGTCAGTCAGGACACACATGCCCTTAACAGACATGCAGTAAAGCTGTTACCCATCTGAACAGTCTCAATGACTTGCTTTAAGCTTAAGTGTCTTGCTATCTTATAGCACAGCTGCACAGACTTTTATCAGCTCTGCAATTCTTGCAAATGGCTCCATATCTGAGATTCAGTTTCCTATGCAACTAATCAACTTTAGAGCAATTAATGGAGATAAGCTTAGTGCTGTTTTTTTCTGTGCTCTGAGTGCTAGCTAGAAATACAGCACGTTTAGAAAAGTAAACAAACCAATAGGGAAGTAGAGGGAAAAGAGAAAAAGGAAAGGATAAGGACTGACTGACCCAACTAGGATATGGAAGTAACAATGGTCTTATCTCAGATTCCCGGAAGCCTGAACTGAGGTTACCAGCTGCCACATTAGGCAATTGGAGAGCTAACTCAAACACTCTGCCAAAACCTCTCAGGTTACTCATTAAAACAAAGAGCCTTGTGTTGGCCATAGAAGAAGAAGCCCAAACAAAGACTCTCTGACCACTCTGTCCTCTTTGGTTAATGTACTACAAAGAGAAGAACACACCAGTTGCAACAAATGTCAAGGCTCTGCTGGAAGAAATCAGAGAATTTGGACTAGTCATCACATAATGGCAGGTAAAAAGAAAGCACTGCTGCTTCCTTTGACCAATTAATGTGCTTCCTAATATCTCCCAAAATCTGAAAGAGATTCTGCAAAACTCCAGTGAGAAGGACATGATTATGATCCTTGTTTCAATAGGGAGAAATAAGATGCAGAGATGTTAAACGGTTTGTTCAACACCTCACATAGAAATTAAATGCAGAACTGGATTAGAGCTTAATGTTTTCTTTTATTCTCTTCTCTCTCCTCTTCATTGCTTTTCACTATGGCTTTATGATACTTGCAATCACAAATGCAGAGCTTAAAACAGTAGTGACAGCTGGAAGCCTCTTTGTGGGAAAGCTTCCCACACTGTTCATCCAATATAAAACCATTTTGAAAGCAGGTACAAAAAAAGGTGCCATGCCTCTCCTCCCTACAGTTACATATACAGTGGTAGAATTTAGGTTTGAAATATCAAATTATAGTAAACTGTTGTAAGCAAACTGATTTATCTTCAAAACAAATAGGAATAAATATACGGATTTATAAAGCAATAAAATATTATGCCTTAAGAGACAATCATTTGTGTTCTCTCAGCAAAGAAAAAAAATCTGTATAGTGCTGTAAAAATTAGGGAGAATAGAAGAGATTATGCTGGCTGCCTGTCTAATCATAGAATCACAGAATGTTTTGTGTTGGAATGGACCTTAAAGATAACCCAGTTCCAATCCCAGTTCTGTGGCAGGGCTGCCACCCAGCAGCTCAGGGTTTCTAGGGCCCCATTCAACCTGGCCTTGAATGCCTCCAGAGATGGGGCACCCACAGCTTATCTGGGCAGCTGTGTCAGGGCCTCACCACCTTCTGAGTAAAACATTTTCTCCTAATATCTAATCAAAATCTTCCCTCTTTTTGTTTGAAACCCATTCTCCCTTGTCCTATTACTATCAGACCATACATAATGTCAGTCTCCCTTGCGTTTATAAATTACTCCCAAGTACTGGAAGGCCACAATGAGGTCTCCCTGGAGCCTTCTCTTCTGTAAACTAAACAAGCCCAATTTCCTCAGTCTTTTTTCTAAGAGAGATGCTCCAGCTATCTGATCATCTTTGTGGTCCTTTCCTGGACCCACTTTAACAGCTCTGCATCTTTCCTGTGCTTGGGACCGTACGCCTGGAAGCCATACTCCGGATGGGGCCTCACAAGGGCAGAGTACAGTGGGGCAGTCACCTCCCTCCTGGCCACCCTTTTGATGCAGCCTTCCAGGATACAAGCACAAGCTGCTGGCTTGTGTCCAGTTTTTTGTCCATCAAGACCTTCAAGATCTCCTCTGCAGGGCTGATCTCAACGAGTTCTTCTCCCAGTTTGTATGTATGTATGGGATTGTCTTGACCCAAGTGGAACAACTTGCAATTGGCCTTGCTGAATCTCATCAGGTTCTTGTGGGACCATTTTTCAAGCCTGTCCTGGTCCCTTTTGGCATCCCTTCGATTTGCAGTATCAACTGCACCACTCATCTTGGTGTCATCAGCAAACTTGTTGAGGGTGCACTCAATCACATTGTCTAGGTCACTGACAAAGATGTTGAAGAGCATGGCTCCCAAGGCTGACCCCTGGGGGACAACACTCTGACCAGCCTCCACCTGGGCATAGAGCCATTGACCATAACTTTCTGGCTCTGAGCATCCAATCAATTCTTTGTTGGGCTATTGGATGCATTGCCTTCTTGGAGGAGCCATCCCTAATTCCTGTGGGACAAATACAAGGTTTTCTCTCGCTGCTTCCTGAAGTGACAGTGTTCCCTGGCTCTTCTCTGTCACTCAAAAGTACATCCTATTTCTCCATCAAATCTACTTTAAAGCCCTGGTGATCACTAAGCCAGCTTTCTGCCCAGTATATTCTTGCCTCTCATGGTCAGTTGCATCCTGTCTGATGTTCACATGTCCAGTCTCTTGTAGCTGTATCCAAGATCACAGTACTTGAATCCCTTAGTGTGACACTATCCATACAGACATTCATCCAATTCGTCTGCTTTACTCCTCCTGCCCAGTTCTCAAAACTCACACTGGGAGGACAGAGAAGAATACTACCTGTGCTCCTGATCCCTTCAACATCTTCCCAGGGGATATAAATTCATTTTTAATATTTTGTAATTTCCTAGTTGCCTCCTGTGACCCAGCCTTAAAGAGCAGGAGTGAATAGTAGTCCTCCAGCTTATCATACCTGGTAGTCTCTTCCTGATACCCAAATGTGGGCACCCAGCAGGCAGCAAACCTCTAGATAGATTATCTGAGCAGCAAAGGGGTGCCTCAGTGCCTCTCAACATGGCGTCCCAAATTACTAAGACTAATGTACAAGACAAAATGATTCTGAAGAGTATTTATAGTCTTAGAAGAAATGTTTGCTCTTGAAATTCTAGATGCGATTTCTAAATGATTTCTGCTAGTGTCTTTACTTGTTTCTTCTATACTGGGGAGCTGTATTTGTGCTTTTCCTAGAAGTGCATTATCTTAAAGCATCCAGAATTTGTGCATGGTATTTATCACAGAAAATCCACAGATATATAATGGTTAGGCTAACTACTGACATATTTTCATCAGAGAATCTTCCCTGCTTTGTGCCTTTTTAATTATTCTGATTATCACTATTTCCATCGCCACTGTATGTCCATATCACTGCTCATGAATACACACTTGACATAAAACATTACACTATCATCATTACTATCCTTCCTACCTTTAAAAGATTGTATCTTTCCATATCATCATCTACACAGATGGTGTTTTCTAGCAGTACTGATAATGTAAATATCACTAAACTATCACTGTGTGTGGAGCGGAGTGAATAAAGTAAAAGATTATATTTTACTGGAGAACATACGAAGTAAAAGTTTTGTTTTAATGCCAGAAAATTCTCTCCTGCAGTCTGACATGACTGGGTCTGAAGTGCAGCTTTGGAGGCTTGTGCTAAGGCCTTCCACATGAGGGTGAACTTCACCCACAGAGGGGAAAAACCATGGAGAAAATTACAAATAATTAAAAAATACACAAATCTGAAACTAATGCAACCTACTTGCCAATATTTTGGGAAAAGGAAAGAAGGGAAAACCCAATTAGTACATTGTTCACTTTGAGTTACTCCTCAGCTCTGATTATACATAGACACCTGTACAAATCACAAGGTATTTTACAGGTAATACTTTTTCTGTGAAAAACTGGATTTCAGATATGATGCAGAAGGGAGGTAAGTATAACTAGACCTGTTGCTGGCTGGTTCATACTTTACATCTCTGCCAGAATCTTCAGGAATATCTGAGTATTCCAATAGATGAAGGCTCCTAAAGTATTAATAATATTCTCTCATCATTTTCCTTTCTACTAGAGAATTCTGCTAGCTAGATATATTTTGTGTAGGAGTGGAGAAATGCCTAGAAAAAACAATGACCTCTCCAGCATGCTATGTAGAAGCTTATGCTTTTATAGCTGTTGGTATGTTGCCCTGGGTATATCTGATTACCCAATGCCTGAAACAGCTACTGGTTTCCTCAGAAACCAGGCCTGGGATTCAATGATGATAGCTTTCAGACCCAAAGATCCAGGAAAAACAGTCCCTGGACCAGAGATCTTCACTATTTCTGAAAGGGCAAAGATATTGCTCCTGCTGGAAATTCTTGTCAATTGGAACATTTTTCTCTTTCCTGTGATCATATCTAAAAAAAGACTACCTTTTCTCTGTTTTAGTAGGTGCAAGCTTGATTTGGCCACTTTCTCCAAGATTGTAAACTGATTTTCTGTGTCTGCCATTTGACTCTGAAAACAGTCAACATTGCCAGAGCCTTAAGGCTCAGAAGTTTTAAGGGTAAATTTTGTACAATATGAGAGTCCAAGTCTGTTTTTTTTTTTTTTCTGCCTCACAGCTCTGCCACCTTGACTGCCTTCCAGTTCTGGTCATGTTTTTCTAATGCCCTGCGTTTTTTATCTCAAATTTGTCAGAAATTTCCTTCGGGGGAATTTACAGTAATTCTAGGGACATTTTTGTAGCTGAGCCTGCATAAAATTCATTCTTTAATCACCTCAGACAAGCTTTATATAAGATGCTGACCAGTGCTCAAACGGGAAAAGGCAGGCCCTATGCTGCTACAAGAGCAGATTTGTTCCAAGATCTGCAATATGGGTAAGAAAGGAGATGACGTCTCCTACACCTCCCTCAAGCTGAAAAACTCCTTCCAAATCAAGCTGATGCTTTGGAAGTGCATTTCTGCAAGAAGAAGTAACTGTTTAATGGACACCACTGTGGAGAGAAGACAGAAAGAAAAGTAAAAATAGAAGAGATTAAAGTCTGGAAAAGTCTGGCTTCTTTGTAGAGCTGCTGCTTCATGCCAAACTTCTCTGAAGGAAAAAGGCTGGAAACACCTTTTGCCTATAGGTCCTTGTGTTGACACTTAGACCATGGTTGAGTCTCCTGGAGCTGGTATGGACTCCTCATTCAAATACAGTTCTGACTTACAGTAGTATTTCAGGCTCTGCCACCCACAAAACACCAGAAAACATCACAAGGCTATCTGCTCTTTTGTTTTCACTTGGTCTTTTGCATGGAAATTCAGAGCACAAACTCAACGTTATCCTCCCAGATTTTGGTTAATCAGCATGGTATCAAGTGTCTTCAGTCCCCTATAACCGACTTTTGACCAATCCAACTCAAATCAGGAACATCTAATCTGTTCAGTCCTCCCCATCCTGCCTTGGTTGACAGAAGATGAGGACCATTTGCCTAGCACTCCCACTACCCAATTAATGGTAGAAAAAGTGAAAAAAGCACCATGTTAGTGTCTTGAAATTACACACGTTCTGTAGCCCTCATACATTCTGAAAGAATCACAAAAGTACCTTGTGATTTTAAATATTCTTAATAGCCGAACACATCTCAACACAGAAATGCCCAGTGGTGACATGATCTTCGTCTCAACCAGAATGGTTTCCAGGATTCCTCCACACACAATGAAACAGTCAAAGCGGTTGAAGAGGGACACAAAATAGGCCTGGAGACCAAGGCTGTACATCTTCAGCAGCATCTCTGCCGTGAAAAGAGCTAGCAGCACCTTATTGGCAGTGTCTCATGAAAAACAAACAGAAACAGATTAAGGAAACTTAATCAAAAGATCATAACAGATTAATTATTGACCCTCGCTTGTAAGAACCCCCTTCCGTGATCAGTCTGAAAGAGTAACGCTATCCAAGCTTGTTTGAAAGAGTAGACTTAAAAGGTGTGGGCATGTCATCCACAGAAATGTTTTACAAGGATGCTTACAGCAATTCTTATGCATTGCAGATACAGCTGTGATGTATTATACAACCACACAACCTCCGCGGCAGGGATATGCCTTCCTGTGCTCAATCTCCCATCACACTTGTCATCTGCAGATGGGAGCAGGAATAGAAGAGCTGCTGTGCTACCTGCTGTTGCTTAATTAAGCCTTTCAGCTGCTCTCACGTCCAGTGAGGATTCAACTGTTCTGAAGAATGAAGAATTTAAAAACTCATTCTTTGCTACTTTGCTGGTAGTTAGAATTTATCATAAATGTAGTTTCACAGAATCACAGAATCACAGAATGGCCAGGGTTGGAAGGGACCTCAAGGATCATGAATCTCCAACCCCCCTGCCACATGCAGGGCCACCAACCTCCACATTTAATTCTAGACCAGGCTGCCCAGGGCCCCATCCAACCTGGCCTTGAACACCTCCAGGGACGGGGCATCCACAGCCTCTCTGGGCAGCCTGTTCCAGCACCTCACCTCTCCCTCTGTAAAGAACTTCCCCCTGATGTCCAGCCTAAATCTCCCCTCCCTCAACTTAAACAATTTCCCCTTGTCCTGCTGTTATCAACCCTTTCAAAGAGTTGATTCCCCTCCTTTTTGTAGGCTTCCTTTAGGTACTGAAAGGCTGCAATGAGGTCACCCTGCAGCCTTCTTTTCTCCAGGCTGAACAAGCCCAGCTCCCTCAGCCTGTCTTCATAGGGGAGGTGTTCCAGTCCCCTGATGATCTTTGTGGCCCTCCTACTTTTCCAGGGGAAGACCCTGGAAAACTTATAGATTCCAGAAGCCATCCATAAATTAGAAATCCAATGGCTGCAGATATTCATTTAGCATAAGCTCCTGATTTCACTTTGGCTAAAAATGAGGGATTCATATCTTCCCCGAAACCTCTCCTTATGTGGGTTGATGTTTTGTTGTGTTGTTTAAGATCCTCCTCAGAAAGGGGACTACTTGCAGCTGCACATGTTCCTTTTACACTCTGTAGCCTAATAGCCTAACACACCAGCTTCTCCCACAGCTCTTTCTTAACACTGAACAAAACAAACAGAACCATCACTCTCTCCTCACCTTGAACCTCAGTGAGCCAGTCTGGCTGGTTGTAGTGTTCAGAAGCAATGGTAAGGGTGTTGAGAAACACAAGGAAGATCACCAACCAGTAGAAAACATTGGACTTGACAGCAGCACGGCACTTTCGTCTGCAGAATCGATTCCATCGGCGCCAATAGCGACTTGAAAAATTAGAAAAGGAAAAGTGCTTTTTAGACAGAGATCTTTAGGCTACTGCAAATCTCTGTGAGAGAGACTCTGGTCTTGATTCATTGCTTGAAAATGGTAGGGAATAACTTTAAAGTTCACCCTGAGAAACATGCTCTTACTCTCATCTGAGTCGACAGCTGTGATCATCGTTTCTTTAGCTCTAGGAATGAAGTTAGTCCCAAACCAATTTGCAACATTTAAGGGTGAATAAACCTCTTCAAGCAATATCTTAATCTGATTAAGACATCTATCACAGCTACCCTAAGATGTCTTTCAGTCCAATTCCCACAAAAATCATTATTCTTCCTCTATATAATGCCTGTGGCCTAAAATCGAACTTGGCCCAGCCTTGGGATAGTCAACAAAAAGATTCCCACTGTGTACAATGGGAGGTGTACAGTTGGAGAGTGAGATAAAATATAATACTCATAGAAGGTATCCAGCAGTTGGCAGTGATCAGAAACTAGCGTAATCCCAGAGCTAACTCTGAACAGAAAGATTTAGGGGACCTCAGTACCTTACCTTCTTGCCTGGAGCTAAGGATACCATTTGTTAATCAACAGATCTTTTAAAGTTTGCCTTCCAAGAAGACGTTCTCTTGTGTCACTGATTTCTGAGGGTAATTACTAACCACAGAAGATATTTAAAGCTAATTACACACCTCCTACTCGTCAGAATTTAACTTGCATAGCAACCAGTCTCCAGGCAACACTTGCCACTGTATAATAAAACTAATAGTTTTATATAGATATTATATACATTATACACACAGGTGTCCATTGTGCTCTTCGGATGCACACATAAACATTACAGGACAGAGGGGGAGAGAAAATCTCTTGGTTAGTCTTTTCTTACATATAATTTCCAGTGATAAACTGTGGCCATACTTGAGGTCAGGGCTCAGTATATAGATAAAATAAAGCCAGGCAATGTGCACACTGCACACCGGCTGAGAATTTTGCAACAGCATTTCAACAGGCAATAAAATCCAGGCTGTTTTAGCTTTGTAATTAGCTTTGCATCTAGTCTTGGTAGCTCAAGCATTTAATCAGGGCTGCATGTTTAGCAAGTGGACTGTGGACAGGAAATGATCTTTCAATTTTCAAAATGGTCACAACACTGATGTGTTTACATTCTCCTTAAACCATCAGCAGTCTTACACAGTTTTGTGTGTATTTTGCACTAATGGAGAAGGAACATCACCATGTGGTGATACAAATGTTTTCTTGTGCTTACACTTGACATAATTAAATCCATGGACTGTATGAATGTGATCAAGTATGCAACACTCTGCAGAGGGATGTGTACTGGCAATATATACACATGCAGATTCCTGAATTTACATTACTGTCCCTTATTTAAGTAACATTTTAATCCTTGTCTCAGTTCCTATGAAAGCTAATTTACTTTTCTATAAAATTGACAATGAATTCAGAGTTCAATGGAGGCTGCTGGACTCCTGCAGAAGAGGCAGAAATGGAATGGGATGTCAACAGTGAAGTTACATGGATTTGGTCAGCTTTTACAGAGAAAACCCACAGATGATCACCAGCAGATTGATGTACATTGTTAAGAGCTTTAAGTCAACAGAAAGGGAAGTATCACCAGAAAAGCTTCACATGTCTCACAGTAAAAGAGAGCAATTCACAAATAATCTCAATATCAAACTTTGTCAGTTGAAAGACTTACAGTCAAGCAGCACAGAGTAATGGAACCCAGTGTAGGAAACAGAACCTTGAGCTGACAGGGTTGATGTTATGGGCACAATGTAATTATGTGGTAGAACTTTTTTTCCTTCTGCTTTAATTTTTTATGGTTCAAGATGCAGAGGTAGCAATCAGATACGTATTTTTCAGTGAAATATTCTCAGTAGTCCCTGTGCCTTATATCAGTATGAAATTTAGAAAAAGTATATTATTATTTAGCAGACGATTGACTAAAATCTACCAAATGTGGCAGCATGCCCTAGAATCAAGACTGTACCCCACAGATGCAGGAATAAGCCATTCCACAAGGTAAGGAACAAAATCAGTGCAAAGGAGGAAAACAAAAGTTACTTACCTAAATTTAGATTTGGAGATCCGATGCCTGAAAGATAAGAATTGCCATTAAAGTCTCTGAAGTTTTTCCATACCTCCTAAGGCTTATATGAGAACAGCAACAGAAAGAAACAAGCTCAATTAATTTTTTGCATGTATACTCTTCCTTTGGAATCCCCCATAGGCTCTGGACAGGATTAGGATTCCCCGATATCCAAACCTGTTTTTTGGTGGGAGTTATGAAGCAGAAGTCATGCTGTGATAGGAGTCTACCACCTACTAAGATCAGCAAATAGCCTTTTTCTTGGGTAAAAGTATGGCCTAAAGCTAGGGTTACTATACATCTGCTACTAAGTTTATTTTTTGAGTATGACTCTTTTTCTTTTAGTCGTTCATATACCTGTATTAAAATATACATGACATATACACACAGACATATTGCATTCATATATCACCTGTCACTTCAAGGTGTATAAGCATATTATGAAATCAAGGAGAAAATAATGTTTTCTTTTTCTCCTAGCAATTGAGGGAAGAGCAGTATACAGTGATTGTTTTCATACTTAGATAATAACACTCATATTTATTTGTCTTTGTTATCTGTGTAAAGCAATCTGAATTTAAATGGGCTGAACAATCAGAAATTCTGTCGCTGTCAATGAAATTCTGGTTATTAAGCTCTCCTGAAAGTTGAGCCATGCTCAAACTATATACATGTCTGACTATCTAAATCCATGCACTCAGGATCATTCTCTTCAATAATGCCATTAGCTTTATACAAGAAGTTATAGGCAAAGCTAGAGACAAACCCTAGTTATATAGCTGCTATCTTGCCCTGATTGCCCCTTGTCCTGTAAGTCCCAGCAACTCTTAAACTGTCTTGTGGTATGTACAACACTAGTACAGTCAGAGAGAGAACAAAGGTATGTGGATACAATGACATTCACCAGAGATGACTTAGGGAGCTTCAAAATCCACTACCAACAACAAAAGAAATGAAGATTTGGAGAGTGACTGTGAATAAGACTTTCCTGCTGAATGGAAGTATTTCTTAAGGTTCCCGCTATGATAGGAAAGTGATTCATTGTTGACAACAGTCAGCAATGGTCTCCCTGCACTGGCTTAAAAATGGAGCTGTGTTAGCAGACACAGGGGAAAGCAATTCTTAAAGCATCCAACGCTACCTCCCGTAGTAATCTTGAACCTGTTTGAGGACATTGGTCACTGACAAAAAATGATGGGTCAGTTTCCTTATGTGGAAGAGATTTTAGTGATAGAAGCATTTCACCAGCAGATGGTCCAAGTCAAAATAAATATAAATAAAAGCTTTTGCACTGAATACATCCTTCTTGCTATGTCACAGGCAGCTTGTCCAGGCCACATACTAGGCAGCAGCGTGGTTTCAGACACATGCAAGAATTATTTTGATAAAGAAGAAATAACACACTGGCTGAACAGAATGCTAAACTATGCTGAGGAGACAATGGAACTGTAATAAGAATGGCTGGTGAAGCACCTACACAGCATATCCTTAATGTTAATGCTATCCCACCATCTTACTGAGAAGTCCTGCTTAAAGTGGCCTGCCTACTGTAATGGATCAGATTTAAAGGCAACAGGAAGGATCAGACAAGGCCAGGAGAAAGAAAGAGAATAAAAATAGTGCAGTGTGAGACAAGGCTTGGTGCTGAAAAAAGAGAGGGAAGACTTTCACAGGAGAAAGCTTCAGGTGGGGTGGAAAGAGAGCAAGAAAGATATAACGGGGTACTCGCCCAGTGGAAAGTAAAAGACAGGGAGTATGAAGTCCTCTGATGACCTCTCTGATGATGGCTTTCCAGTGAGGGAGTTCTGCTGCACTTAAGAGATCTTTTATTTATTTAAGAAGAAGAGATGTGGCAGGTGTAGTGTTCATCACACATGTGATAATTACATCTTTGGAGCATTATGAGCAACAGCCAAGTGCATTCAGTGCTCCGACAGGTTAGCTGTTCCCCCCGCCCCACTGCCTTACTGTTATGGCAGAAGGCTTTATCACAAGTGGGTGTGATATATATATAGAACAGGACAAGGGAGGAGGAAGAGATTTATATTTAGAGGCAGAATCCGAGAATGAAGTTGAGTTTTGGAAACACAAATTGTGCAATAACTGTTTTTTAAAATATTATGCCCTAATCTGAAACATATTTTTTACAATGACACCTGTGATCAAGAAGCCTTTGCTTTTCAGAATGAGGGTTAACACCATACACAGAATGCACTTATGGCATTTTTCAAGTCATCAAATGGCCTCTTTGTGACATTCCAAACTGGCACTTGCCGGGGTTCAGAATGAATCAGATTCTGCGGTATAGGTTTAAAGACAGATCTCTTGTACTCCTCATACTCTAGATGTTTTACGTCTTTGAAAGAAAGAAATCTTCCTCAGGTGGAGCTCTGATATGTCTTGAGAAATAGTTGTTGGTTATTTTTTTCCAAATATGATATTAGAGCTTATATGACAAATATTTCAGATCACTACTGAGTGTTTTTGTCATAGGATCCATGTCACTCAGATTACATCTTAAAAAAGATGAAATTAGAAATCAGACCTTTATCATTTGAATAGCTATGTTCAATTTTCTAAAACTCTTCCAAACCTTACCTGGTTAAGGTAAAGTTACCACATGCAGATAAAACAGTGAAACATTAAAATTTTATCAGCATAAGCTTGGGACAGTGAGCACAATTCAGATATATCAGATTCAGAGATATCCCATATTCTGTGAGATAAAGCAGCACAACAAAACCTTGGAAAGCATTCTTCCCTTTCTATCTTCCTGCTGATGGAAGGGCATTTCTTTGTTCTAGTAGGGATGTTGGAACTCCTGAAGAACAGATGCCCACCCTATTCATTCCTACACATTCCTAGGACAAGAGTATACAGTGACATAACATTTTCATTTCCTAATAGCCTCTCAGTAAAATGAAGTCTTAGGGATGAGTTCTACCCTCAGCTACATCTCTGCAATTTGTCCTGAAGCAATGGACCTCCAGCTTGCTATCTTCGCTACAATTAATATTGCAGTATTATACAGTGATACACAATGATCATTTCTCATTTCTGTCCCTTTATTAAAAGCTTCAAGCAAAACACTCTGGCCCCAGAGAACTTGAACTATGAAGCGGATTGAAATCAAGCACTGAAGAGCATGCTGACCCAAAGGAGTGATGCTGGGTTTAAGACAGAGGTGGCTGTTTGCTAGCAGCAATAAGAATCTAAAGAATATCCTTAAGGAAACCGGATCTATCTATTTTAAAGTTTAGGTGGTTTGCTATTTATTAGACCTTCTTGATCTGGGAAACAGACTGGAGAAACAGGCCAGCACTTAAAAGTGAGTGAATAGCCCTGCTCTCCCTTTGGCAAGTCACAGGTAAGGCCTGTCACAAAATGTGAAGCAGGAAGATAATGCCTCCTCCACAAGGGCATGCTGCTGTCCTGAGACACGTACCTAGAACTGACGGTGAATAACAAGAATGCCATGCTTATAAATAAACTGGAGAGCAGTAGTGAATGCTGATATGAAAGGGTTGCTGCCATGTGTTTTCCTTCTAAAGTCAGCAGAGGTTTCAGAGCTTTTGGCAAACTCTTCTTTCCGCAGCTCCTGATGTGATTGAGAATTTGGTCCTCAAAGGAATCTATCTTCTCATTAGGTCAAAACCAATGGCAACTGTACTGAACCCGAAAGCAAAATGACCCTTTCTGCTTTACCACTGGCTGCTATGCTGATTATTGCAAGAGTTGCGTAAGGAGCTGTTGTACAGACAGAAAAGCACCAAAGGAAAATCACCAATGGTTTGGCTGCCAAGGAAAGCTTCCATTGTCTATATTATTTTAAGGACATTGCATTTTCTGAAAAGCCAGTGTAGATTGTTCATTTTATTCTATCCTCTTTTACTTTTTTAACCCTCTTTGGTGGAAAAGCAATTGCACTGTCCCCCAAATATATGGAAATCCCATCCAAGGTGAAAGTGCCAAGTGGCTTATTATTTCAGGGAAAGCAGATCATTTTAAGTTCTCTTCCTCTTTGAGCTCAAGTGCTTCAGTTTTCTACCACAGCTCCGTGAAACTTAAGTTTCCACAAAGGTCTCTTTTTAGCTAAGACATACTTATAAAAGCAAGTTCTATTGTGGCACTCCAGGTCTGCATGGTTGTATTAGAAAATTAGCATTCTGGTTGTATTGGATTATATACGCTGCCATCCTGTGCAGAACAGATTACTGTTGATTATGAGCAACAGCCTGCCAGCAGGAATTTGAGGCCTGCTGAGCCTCAAAGAGGCTCAGAGAAATTATCACTACTAGGTATAAGGCTGTTCTGTAAAGAGAAACCCATCGCTCCTAGTTTTGGGTTTATCTCACTGATACTTGTAGAGAAAAAACATTTCTTTGTACATGGAGGCAACAGGTTATAAAAGTTGTGACACGCCAGAATTAAGATAAGTAAGTTCCACTTCCTGACCTTGATGATAAAAGCTGTTGTGTTTCTACTTCAGGACAGATGTCAGTGCAGTACAAGGCAATGTCATGACAGAGATGACATGCTGTGGAATTTGTGGGACATTTTTCAGTGCTCCATGGAACCCCACAAGACCTTTTTTAAAAAAAGAAATTTGGACACATGTTAAAGATAGCATCATTTTAGGAAGGAAAATACTCCTTTCCACAGCTCGCCTGATGGCAGCGGAATTACTAAGGATGAATACGAACAAAGTTTGTGTTTGCTTGTTTGTTTTAGTTTTAAGAAGCTGGATTTACACACTAAGCAAAAAGATTAGATACTACATTCCTCCTGAAACTCCTGCTGGTTTAAATCTGGCACTGCTCCAGACAGCACAGATGATAGTATGGATACTATAGGAAGAAAAGCTCCTTTGAAACAATCAGTAGGAGACAGCCTGTGTTTGAGAGGTAGTCTCCTGATCTCATGTAGCATATGTCTCTGTGGAGCTGAGAAAGGCTGTCAGGGAAGATCTCCTTTTCCAAAAGGCATGCTTGAGACTGGCTTCTCAAGCAGATCTTTCTGTCATTCACAGATGATGCCTTTCAAAGCTCTGCAGCTTTTTATAAGAACAAAAAGAACAGCCAGTAATACGGAGTTATCTTTAATAAAAAGACATTCTCCTTCAGTCTCCTAGGTACGTTTTCTTTTTATCACATGAATATTCAGATGGCAAGGTCAGCCTGTAACCATGGTGGTGGTGTTGCTCAGGTGATTAAATGCCCTAACAGCTTGATGCCACTAAATAAATAAACATATTACCTCTGCCTCGAAATCTCCCTGATGCTTCAGTCATGTCTAGCTGCAGCTTGCCCAGTGCAATTTCTGACCCCCAGGAAGAACGTGTTTATAGCAAGACAGTGGGGACTTCTGGCTATTGGGTGACTTTAGTAGGCTGGTCAAAATCAAAAGCCATCTGAAACTCAACACATGAAACTCAAAGCTGAACAGAAAACTTCTCTAGCCATTTCAGTTCTAAAAGACAAACTTCAGAATGCAGAAGAGTGCTCAAGAGTCTGGGCTTAACCTTCAGCTACAGTAAATCAGGATGTCATGATCATAATCATTAACACTTACTGATAGTTCACTGGTACTATGTGAAGAACACATTTGAAAAACTCAACTTCCCAAAAGAACTACTTCTATCCTTGAACAGCACTGAGTTAATTATTGGATGCTCTGGCCAAATCCTAATGCTCTAAGTCATGTTCCACCAACGTTACTTACTACTCAAATCAGTTCTGAAATCCCTGCTTACATTTCATATATTCCTGATGGAATCAGAGTTCAAGACAAATCAAAATTTACCCATAAAAGAGGAATTCTCCACAAATTTATGAAGGAAGCACTGACAAATTTGTATTTTGATCCACACTTTCAAATGCAAAGATACAGTCATTCATTTTCCTGGTCGAAGGCTCCCATTCATCTCTTGGAGATGAAAAGCAATCTCCCTGAGGCCTTGAGGATTTTGAATGTCCTTGGGTAGGGGGGGTTAAAAAAATCCCCTTCTCAATAACAGATTTCAATTTCCCTACTATATGCCTACTATATGGAATGAGGCAAGGAAACCGTTTTTCTCTCTCAATCTTATATGTACTGCTTTGGTGACACGTAGGCACAATTTTAAGATTTACAACATGGGAAGAAGAAACAAAGTTCCATTTTGTTGTCATCTTTCTTTGCTTTGTTAAAATGCATTGGATACAGCCATTCCTTCTCCTAACACTGTGGGCATAGTGTGCACTGTGTCAGACCATAGGACTGTCATTCTCCTGTGGATATGTTGGATCATTTTCAGTAAACTACATTCTAAGTCATGTTTATGTTTAGAATTGGGTTAAACTTCACTTCTCCTGGCCGCATTCCAATTTACAGAATTACGTTCTCCTTGCCAAAGTTCCCCATACTGTTTCAGTGCAAAACAAGTTATCTATCATACACCTCCTTATACACTCATGTCCTTTCTCCTTATGTTTTTAAACACCTGTCACATCTTACCCCGAAGGTAGCTAAACTCTAACACTGTGAAAACAATTGCTACACATACAGTTCATGAAGTGTTTTAGGATCCTCTGGGATTAAGGACATTAAATGAATGCAAGCTGTAATATTAAAAATATATGCAACTTTATATTAACAGTTTCCATTGTTGTTGGCACTGTGTAGCACCAGGAGACCCATTGTGTTAGGAACCATAATTGCAGAAGAGAGATAGTTCTCCAAATCAGATCCAGCTGGAAGAAGTGGTCACATATCCAGCTGCTGCTTCCTATTATGTGACAAGAGCACAGGCAGCTAAGTGAGGTGCTAAAGAGAGAGTTCTAACTGCCTTACTGCTGTGAATAGACCTTGACTGGTTCCTTCTGAAAAGAGTTCATAATCTAAACCAGACTCAGCAGGTAGACAACAGCAAGCAGGCGAAGGAATGCTATCATACTTTCTTCTAGAGTTTGTAAGCCACTGGCTGACACTTCCAGGAAAGCAGACTGAATTTATAACATATTCCACACATCACGTCTTATAATGCAGATAATGTTGCTTCCTTTTCAGTCTGTAGAGGAGAAGGCCAGGGGTGTTTGAGGGAGATACAATCAAGGTTTATGAAATCATGAAAGTGATAGATTAGCTGAATGCAGAACTGTTGATCATCGAATCTCACAGTATAAGGAGGAAAGGGCATTGACTGAAAGTAGCAGTATATCAGCTTAAAACAGATACACTAAACTACTTGTCTACACAGCAGGTAGCGAGCAGCTGAAACTTGCTGCCACAGGAGACTGTGAGGATAGGCAGCATTAGCAGTTTCAGATAAATCCATGGCTGACAGGTCCATAAAGGGCTTCTCAAGGCAAAAATGAGAAGCATCTCCTCTAAGATCTCTAACACAAAATCATGAATTCAGGAGCAGAGAAGTGGAATAAAAGGCAGGAAAAGACCAGGCTTGCATGCTTCCCCTCCTGTTACTGTCAGGATCTGAACACTGGACCACAGGCCTAACAAAACAGAATTCTTCTTAGGTAGTTATGATCAGCAGCTGATCAAACAGAAAGGCTCAAAGTATGTCCAAGGACAGGACAGAGCCTCAAAGTATTCCAGCACGGTGCTTAGTCCAGTTTTTACAGAAATTAAAGAGGGTAAACATATTTCCAGGCAGCATAAGGTCCATTCTTATTTAAGTAATGCAAAAGGGAAGAAAGGACTCCTCTGGTCTATTCATGCTCACAGTGAAGCTAAAAAACATATCTTACAGTATAAACGTCTTCCATAAGTGCTATCTCACATGTTGTTGAGTCTGTCTACTTACTACAATGGTGTAATTTTGAGAAGGCTTTACCCCCTCCCAACTGCTGTGTTTTATTTTTCACTATGATGTGCCCAGCACTTTAAGGGTATAATTCAGGCTGCAGGATGGAAGCTATCATGTGTATTTCAATTACAAGGCACTGTAAAGTGCAGAGGAGCCATTAGAGAAATTAAAATATACTGGTCAATTCCACTGTTTGGTCTGCATATACTGAATTTGATTAACTATCACTAAAGACCAATTTTAAAATAAGAACACTTATCCATTAGTTCTTCTTTTAGCTACTATGCAAACCCAGCTCTGCTTGTTGTGGGAATTCTGTGATTTATTTATATCTGTGTAATCCCAGAGGCTATCTACTAACATCGAGAGTGAGTTTACATTGCAATTAAGATAAGAACTGGGATTAACAGCTCTTCTCCACCCTCTTTTCACCCGCAGTGTGGTTTCCTTCCCCTTAACGAGTTTAACATTTGCCTTGGCTTTAAACCACCAAGCTCAAGCCAGCACCTGCACACATATAACTGTGTATATGTACTCACGCTAGCCTAGCACCGCAGTTTTCTCCTTCAATATCTGTTCCAGGGACGTTGTCTGTGTTCACGGACTCGGTCTCACTGGTGGGCATGCTCACTGTAAGAGTCAAAGGGAAGAAAAAGAGAGGGTTGGCCATTAGAACCTGACACACCTATTAATGAATCACATCAGTCTTATTGAAAAGACCCTCCGCTGCAACTCCAGAGGATCAAGCGCTTAGCTGAGCAAGTCTACTGGCTCCCTGCACAAACAAGGCTGGGCTGGTAGACTTTTGGAATACACACTGCTTACTCAAATGCTAAAGAAAGGGAAAGAATCAGCTGCTTGCTTTCTTTTTGAGTCAGTTCCTAGGAACTGTTATGAATGAGAATCACTAAAAACGAGGGAACCTGGCAAAACCAAGAAATAAGCATTTGCTTAATTCAATGAAAACTTATGAAGATGCCTCTTCACCTGCACCAGCACAACTGTTTTACTACCCTTTCCAGTCTCTTCTGGAGTGGAGTGCAAATAGCAAGTACCAGACTCAGAAGAAATCAGATAAAAGGTTTCAGTTGGCCTGATAGCAAGTTCCACATAAATAATACTGATGGCCCATGTACTGTATACCACTGTTAACGGGTTTTAACCTTGCATTTAGAGCCTGAACTTAATGGGGTATAGAGGGAAATTCAAACTCTCAGACCCTTTCAGATATTACCAACAAAGAAACTAATTAATATGAACTGTGGCAGAGATTTTATTTTGACAGTCATCAAATAAGAACTGGACAGAACTACACTTTTACAGAAATATAATGGAATAACCATCAAATGAAAGCAATCTTAAGTGTGAACCTATTTCATTAGGATTCAAGAAGGTGTCACATCTTCTATGCGTTATGAAACCTTAATATTTTATTTGCTTCTGTAGATGAAAAAGATTCACTGTTTCCATTACATGAATTTCTCCCAGCTCCTATATGAACTGTAACTCCTTCAACATACTAACATTCAACATATGGTGGAAGAAAGGACAGCATTCAATGTGTCTCTTCCCTTTTCACCTCTTTTCAAATATACAGAAAATGACATTTTCAACGAGTAATGGAAGAGTTAGGTCTCTGAGATGGGATGTATATCACAGGTGAGTCTTGACAGTACACGCTATTAGTTGTGGGAGAAGCTTTAATAGCTTGTCAAAATAGGTTACTCATTAATAAAAAGTATCTAATAGCAAGTCCTTGATTAAAAAATAAAAAAAGGAGAGACAGAGTAAATATGCTCTGCATTCCAGTTGGGCAGATGTTTAATGAGCTATGGGCTCAGAAATCCTTTCAGAAGCTACAAAGATATCAGAAGGTTCTTCCAAAGAGGTACTGGGTTCTTGCTTTGAAAGCATTATGGTAGAAATGCCTCTCAAAATCTTTCCTGCACACAATCCCAATAATGCAAGTGCTTCCAACATATGTCTTTGGAAATCTATACGTTCTTGTATTGTGCTATTCAGGAACACAGACCATATGAAATAATGGTCTCTCTAGTCTACTCTTGACATAACCATGAAATACTGTACTCTAATGGTGCCTGTTTCTTTACAAAGACTAGATGTTTTAATAAATCTTGTCTGTTCAGAAAGATGAATAAAGAAATCAACTGGATTCATATTTTGATGTGCACAGAAGAGTCAAATAAACTGTAAGAAAAAGAGACATTCGTAATTAAAATCTTCAAATTTTCTATTCAGACGAAGCCCGTCAGGAAAAAAAAAACAAACACCAAAACATTGATATTTGGTATGTCATCTTTGAGGATGAGGTAAAGCACTTTCAAGACATATTTGAGCTTATTTGCAAATGGGAAACAATCTTGAAGACATTAGCAAGAGATTGATTTGCAGAACAGCTTATTAAGTGCATGAAGAGGACACTGCACAAGCAATAGCAAAAGCAAGGCACGCACATGCAGAAATACACAAAGATACATTATGTGTCAGTCTTTATAGAGATATATAGACAAACACACATACAAATATGCGTAGTGTGGACACCAAGTGCAGTGGAACATTACCATGGGTTTCTGTGGAGTGACTAAACCAAGAAAACTTTTCTTTCTTCTTATCAGGCAAGCCAGCTGGAGTGCTTCCTTTCACAGACAAGATGGTCAAGTACCAGGAACAAGACATCAATAGAGAACATGCAGCCAGTGACAGGCAAAAGAAAAAAACAAGGAACTCAGCTTGCACATGACATCCACTTCTCTCAGAAAACTTCATCACGTGAATTAAAAGTACAAAATGAAAAAATAAGGTACATAAAAATAAAAAATATTATATCAGACCATCAGAGGATAACCTCCCCTTGCTTTGTGCTCTTTTTAAAATTTATCTTCTGAGAATAATAAGTGGTTGAATTGAAGTTTATGGGTGAAATCATTTTTCCAATGATTTCAATGGCAAAAGTCTTCTTGTTTGACTGTCTGACTACTGAAATCAATAAGTCTAAGGCACTCACAACATATCCCAAAGTTTTCCTCCAATCTTTAGTTCCAGGATCTGGACCAGCCCATTTTTGAATCAGATTTCTCGTTCTTTTTTTCCTAATTTTTTCCAATATCAAGAAACTTTTCAAAAGTGATGGAGATGCTAAAGAAAAATTGTTGGGATAATTACATTTCTCAGTCTTTTCTCTGTCTTTTCCATGGTTCAGGCTAGTTGCTGACACACTAACTCCCAAGCATTTACTGCACTGCACTGTTGGTAAATGTTAAGCACAGTAAAAAGTATTACAAAGCTATCATGTATAAGAAGAATGAGGGCCAGAAGTTAAAGGCCAGGATGGACAGGAGATGTGGACTGTAATCTCAAACATGGTATGTTCTCAGCAGGACAACCACTTAATTTTATGTGGCACCTCACCATCATCTTCAGTATCATGGATAGTCATGTGCATAGCTGCTATGAGGTTCATTTAGGCCAGTTAAAAAATCCTGAAAACAGAAGTTGCCACAGAAGATTTATGTATAAAGTGGGGCTGAATATGAGATGAAGTAGACCAACTATTGCCCACACAGCTTTCTCTCTGATTCAGTTCTCAGAGACGCAGACCTTTTGCCCACACCCCAGCTCCAGTCTAGAAGCAAGGCAGGCATTTTCTGCAGTCAGGGTAATTAATTACTGGAACTATGCACCAAGGATGTTGGCAGTGAATCCACCACAAGAATGTTTTAATCATGAAGAGATGTTTTTCTAAATGGTGGGCTCTAGTCCAGACCAGAGCTATCAGGATCATGCTATACGGACTATGCCATCTCAGTGACTTCTTCCTCTTTGTAATTTTGGAAGTTGAGACAAAAGTGCATTTCCTCCTGTCTAGACACAAAGTGACTTAGTGATGGAAATTCTGGTGCCTCACCTCCTGCTCCATATGTGATCAGTGACATATGCACTCTTACAAGGGCTGTTTGCTGTCAAGTTCAAAAAATCAACTCCTTGTACCCAGATCAGAGGTCCCCACAGGGCTGGGTTCTGCCAGATGCAGTGTGCGCCTTGACCTTCAAGTAGATCCATAGATCTTCCATCTACCACAGGCTTTGCCTTGCAAGGCAATTCAGTATCCAAACTACACCACAGGCATTGTATCCTCATGCGCACAGTTCAACTGCACACCTGATACCTTGGGATATTAAGTTATACCTTAGAGTCGTAGTTGAATGACTGAATACCTATACTGTAGAAGGTGACTCCTTGGCACATGTGAGAGCAGGTTGTTAAAGGAATGAGAAGACATTTCCTCCAGACAGTTTGCCTTTGCAGGACTGCACCAGGAGCAGCAGTGCAGCTAACAGTGAGATGAGCACACTGAGCTGGCAGTTTGCCTCAACCAAACCAAACCAAGCCATACTATTCCAAACCACTGCAGTGAACTACTAACAACCACACAGGGCTAGAATACCTTTGAGCAGCCTGGTCTAGAGGTTGGCAACCCTACCTACAGCAAGGGGGTTGAAACTAGATGATCTTTAAGGTCCTTTTCAACCCAGGTCATTCTATGATGATGCCATAGAAGATATGCAATCATGGTAGCTTTGCTTACATTGCAATCTTTTTCTGAATTTATCTTTAGTGATCACATCCATAATTCACTCAGGTTGATGGAATCTCCCATTAATTACACGTTTCCAAGGTAGCATAGGAACTTCTTTCCAAAGGGAAGTGAAACAGCTTTCAAACCATGCAGGTATTTCATGATTTTGATAGAGTGCAAACCATGATGACCAGTATGTTTTATACTCTACAGTCGCTGAAATATTTGCACTTCTTACATCTCTCCACAGCATGGTTCATCTCTGAATACAGCATTTTCCTCCTGGACTACCTAAACCCTGATTTCACATTACTTACATAGTATTCCTACAGCAACTAAAGCAGCAAATGCTGTCTAGCTGCTTCCTTAAAAATAAACCTGACATAAGCTTCATGTTGTGTTAATTCTAGCTCTGAAACCTAGTGGACAGAAATAAGGACAAAGTCTGCAGTCTGTGAATGGTTGTAGGCAGATGTGCAAGACCCTTTGAGAGCCTCTGTTCCATGTCACCGGCATCAAGCTTTGATACCAGCCCTACACTTGCACTAACATATGTCCCTCCAACCAAATGCCCTGTGGACATGTAATAAATTACTAGATGGCAGGTTGCCAAGAGATAGCCAGCTGCTCAAGTAAAAAGATAGACAGCACTTTCAAATCCCCTTCAACGTAGCACTGAAATATTTTGTGCCTTTCCACACTTAGGGAATAATATATAGCTGCATTTCAGAAATATCACTACCACTGTTGCATTTTGCATTTGTGGCAGTCTTGTCATCTTGACAGTGGAGGTAATTCTAATATTCAAATTTATCTCCATGGATTATAATGTTGCCACTCTTGCTTGTTGCTGAATCTGACTTTAATGAATCTTGCTGTGAGAATTTAAAACCTGGATAAGATGATCCCTGGGCAAAGGATACCAGGTTCCACAAACATAGACAAAGCACACACATGTCACAGATGTTGATAGGATACATCACTAAATGACTATGCAGATCTTGATGTTAATTTTAGAACTGGATATGTGAGA